CATGGAAAGCAAAAATAGCTTCAAAGAGCAGAGAAAGGGACAGTTATATTATATTATATGTCACGTATTATTCTTTCAGATCCTACTTGTATTATGATAAATAGCATTATTGTCGTATAGTGTGTGTTATTCTAGTTGCGTTTTTTTTAAAACCTTGATTAATCTTCCTTGATCAGATTATATCCTTTTAGTCCTTCATCTAGCTAGTACGTATAAACAAAAATATTGCGGCTAAAGGTTACATCACTATCTGATCGGTGCAAAGGGTTTGTTTACATTATATTTAGCCAATTCATGAAAGTTTTTTGTATTTAACTTGCTAACAAATTTGGACTCGATGAAGAAATTGTTCTTACTTTTCGTCAACATCTAACAAGTTCACATAGTACGGTTTTATTCAATACTCAACAAGAATAATTAAACACCTTAATGTTGGTCACCTGCCGAGATCTAGATATGAACAGAGGTGCGTGTGCAAAGTATAAAAACAAATTTCCACTGGCCAATAGAATATTGTTATTTGTAAGTACAGATCTGTCAATACCTAATTATAAGTTGAATAAGTTTCGGGATTTACAGTATATGCTTAATTATACTTTTATTCCCTTACTTTATAGTTTATAACTTATGCATGATCTGAATCTTCCTCATTCTAATTATTCACATTAGTGTTAATTTTTATTACAAATTGTCTTATTTGTCCAAATTTCCAAATTTATATTACAAACTTTGGTCCCCTCCCTCTGGGGATAAATGATATCTGATTAACGTGTTAAAAGTTAAATTACAAGCTATTCAATTTAATTTTAGGTTTTTTTTTTTTTTTTTTATAAATCACCCTTCGAAACTGTTCACCATTTACCTGGTTTTGGACACTTAGCATGTCACAAATTTTCTTTACTTATAACTATTCATACATTTTTGTTTGTCAATACTGAAAAGTGTTTGCTGCCTACTTATTATTCAAGCCGGTATGAAGTGAGAAATTTGCAACTTTCACGTTAAACACGCATACAAAATCACATATCGTTAATACTGAGGTAAATATCTATTAACATATCATAATTGTAGCTAATTTTAGCGAAGCCACCGAGTAGTGAAGCAACAGCACATTGAGGTAGGTCATATGACTGAAATGAAGAGATCGTGCACAACAAATAGAGGTGATATGGCAGTATCGATAGTGAGCCTGAGAAGATTTACGTACACTTTGAAAAGGAAAGGCTGGCGCAATACTCTGAGGACATATATGGTACTCAGGACATGCCTGTAAGTCACCCTTATAAAAGGTAATGTTAGGTACGGATCCATGGGGCAGCATGTATCGTCTTGCCAACCTTACTCGCCTGGCCCATGCAATATTGCTTATTATTCTTTTCATTCATTTCCACCATTCATGCGTAGTGAAAATACGTTTTCCCACCCTTTGAATTATCCCATGCGAATGTTTAGAAAATAACGTTACATTCTTTATTTATTGCTGGCAGTGTATATCAATTGATATCAATTGAGCTCAATTATAAATAGTTAATTCTTTTGACTCAATCAGAACAATGATGGGAAGGATTTATAGAAAGCTAGCAAGTTAATTGAAGGCAGATGAGCACACGTATAACTTATGAACATTTGGTGATTATACTCGGGCGATGCATGGATTAATAATTAGTCGATCATAGTAATATGTTTTTTTAACTGTGCATTGCATGTATAACTTTGAAAACTTATAAATATGATGCATTATTTATATGATAGACGAATCACATAAATTGCACAATCAATTAAAGAGTGCACAGTCTGTCAAATTATTTATTTCAATACCGACGAGGTGGAATAAAAGAACTCTTTGAAGTTAGTTATTTTATAGCTCTTATTAATTAGTGTTATTAGAATATTAATTTAAAGGTAATAAATATTTTTAAAATATGTTGAAAATCTAATAAAATTATTATATTTTTTTGATATATTAAAAATGCTCATTAAAATTTGCTTATTTTACGTAAGCATACTTGGAATTCGAGCAGTTATTCAACGCTTCAGAAAAAGAAGATCGGAAGCCCAAAACAAGCAACCCAATTTGGAATTACTCTCCTGAGGAAAGCTGCACCATGTATAAATAAATCTGTAACATTGCAGAAAAAAACGCATTAATTTACCCTCATTGTCTGGTCAATGACACCGGTTGTACGATTTCAGCCAAAAATGAAGGATAATGAAACGTTGATCCACCAAGCTGTGTGAGGAGATCGATATCCAAAAGCTTGCATTAGTTAATCTCTTTAATTTGTATCACTTTCTAGATTTTTTTTATTCCATTACTTTTTAGATTTATACACGCACAATCTCAAAAAGCATGCAGCAGTTACTCACTTTAATTTGTATCACTTATACGGTCCTTATAAGTTATAACTGATTTTATACGCACGAAGCTATATTGGTAGCAACAGCAAAGTGACCAACCTATTGCCCAAAAATAAACATGGAAGAGAAAATATAAGAATAATAGAGGCTAAAGATTCGAAGTTGGGGGTTGGTGAAGCAGTCAACAAGCCATGTAGAATTGAAGGAGGAAAGAGCTGTCATGCAGGGGGTAAAATAAAATAACCCCCCAAAACTCAATGATGGGAATTTTTTTTTTTAAATGTTTAGTTTTGTTATTGGGCCGTGAGAGGGAATTGGGGGGTTGAGGAGGATAAGCTAAGCGAGCATGATTGTGGTGGGTGCCTTATAAATTTTCTGACACACAAAGGGGGGATTATATACCCCACAGCCACTAACTCCCATACCATTTCTTTCAACAAAAGTGGCCTATTCATCTTACCTTGTATTTCATGACAGGGTAGTCAGAGGGTATAGGAGTTTGGTATTCCCAAATCCCAATGCTTTGACTGTCCCTATCCCTTCTCTTGTTGTTCAAATTTGCCACTCCCAAAACCCACCGGGCAGTGTGCTCACATGGCTAATTTAGAACCACTGAGCCATCACAACAAATCCTCCAAATAAAAACCATTCCTGGCGCCACACGGCTCGCCCTTTTTAGGTCCAACTCCAACACCCGGCCCTTCATTTTTTAACGTGTTTGCATGTTTTGCAGCACCACAAAACAACAACTTTGTGACAACAGCATCATTTCCAAACGCTTCGGGCTTATTGAACACAGATAAGAGAAACCCCTCTCTAAGTCCCCATACCATATGATTTAGTTATCATTCACGGACCCGTATCTAACACTGTCAGTTTCATTTTAGTGTTAGGTACAACTTTTTCTCCCCGTTGTGTCATTCAATCGAGATACTTGTAGTGAGAAAATGCGAGGTGTTTTTACTGTTTAGCTTGACTTCTTCTTTTCATTTTCAGTTTATAAAGAAACGCGGAATATAATATACTTTGTCTTCGACACTTCTTTTCACAGAACGATGAAAATAATAAACTAAATAAATATAATATTGTATTTACACAATTGTTTGTGAATAAATCAATTAAAAAAACGCGAACAGGTTCAGTGGTTTGGGATGTGAACAAACCTACCCTCCTCCCCACTTTTTTCCCGCCATAGATTTACACCTTTAAGAACCCAGGGATAAAAAAACCTAATACAAATCCATTATATGTGGAAGAATTAATTTTTTGTGTTGTAACGTTTCTCTTGTTTAGTGTTAGCGCCAATAGGGTAAATATTTTATACGAATATCAAATTTAAAGTTTTTTTTTTTTTTAATAATTTTATATGCCATAACAACAGGGAATATCTTTGGTTCCAAACTAAGATGACTTTATTGTCACTCAAAATTTTCAACTGTCACTCCTCTTTAAATATTTTTTTTATACAAAACAAGCTTCTTTATTGGTCAATTGAATTAATATTTATAATATTTAAATAAAAATATCTTAAATGAGAAGTGGCAATATATAGTTTGCACTAACCATTGACACTTACATCAAACTAACTTTCTGTATCTTTCTCTCTTTTTCTGAGGGAATTACTTATGGTTTGTTCTTTTGTTTCCATGCATGGAGCAGCTTCTGTAACCTTTTGTTTTGGATCTTCTGCAGCTTCTGTAACTTAAGTTGCATTTTTTCGGGGGTGCTCTAGTTGCAATTTTGTTCTGGATCGAATCTCAATTGGATAGACCAACTATGAAAACAAAAAAGGAGGCCCATAGAAAAAGGGCCGAAGCCCAATAACAGAAGACAGTGCATACTGGATAGTTCTGATATCATTTTTTACTTCCCCCACTTGATCTGATACTTCAACAAGGACTTGAACTAAGAGCCCAATGACTGTCCAAAATGGCTGAGCATTTATCCAGCGTGATCCAAAAGACAGGCCCATTGCTCTCCGGATTGTTGTCAAAAAGAATATTCAGGACAGTCTCACTAATCAGTGCCTTTAAAATATTTAATAAAAAATTAATGTTAGAGTTGAATGGAAAAGTGTAAATGACGTATTGTCATACTTTCTAGTAAAATATTTTTACTTGAATTTTTTAAAAAGTATCTTAAAAACTCTAATTAAATTTTCCTTAAAAAACTGTAAAGCCATATAAAATAATAGATAATAAAATTACCCCTCAAGATACATATGACTCTGGCTGCCGTTTGACCCAAATATATAATTATGTCTTTTGGGTGCACATTCTACCGTGTTCCGAATATGCAGTTTTGTCTAAAACCTTCTAATTGTAAACACAAACCTTTGTGTCCATTTCCAAGAAAGGTCTTTTCGTACTTCCCAGAAAGTTAGCGAAACGCAGGGCGTACGTGCAACATCATCGATGATCCAATCCAGGATGAAACGACAAGGCAAAGTAGACAGACACAACTTACGTCACGTGTTCCACGCAGCCGCGCAAGCGAGAACCGTGTAAGAAAAATGAAGCCACGTGTCACCAATAGCCACGGGCAAGTGAAACAATCCAACGGCTTCAGGCGTGCCATGCAACCCCATGTGAAAAATTCCCTTTATTTTGGTCACAATAAATAAACAAAAATAAAAATAAAGAATTAAGAAAGGCCTTGCCGTGCTTCCAAAAGATTCGTATTTTTAGGGTTCCATCTATTTAGATTAAAATCGTAATCCTAACCTTCTTTATCGCCAACAATCCCTCTCTCTGAGAGACGCTCACGAACTCCAATTGATCCCCTTAGAATTTTAATGGCTTGTTCATCATCCAATTCAAAGCAAGTGTTGTCGAAGTTCTCAGTTTTTAACTCATTTTCCATACCTTGCGATTCTGTTTCTTCCCCTGGCACACTTGATACTTGTTCATCCGTTTCTTTCTCAAATTCCGATTCGTTCTTGTAACACGAATACCTTAGTAACCCAACTAACAAAGCAAAGAAGCCGTAACCATGGGAAAGCGTAAGCCCCTAAATTCCTAGGGTTTCTTTCTTTTCTCTCCACATCCACCTGCGAATATCGGTCCAACTCTATTCAAATTTCTGTTTGTTTAATCCATTCACTAATTAATTGATTGTTGTGTTATGCCACGTTTAGGCAATTCTCAACGTAAAACTGCTGCGATGTTCGATAGCGATGACGATAGTAGCGTGACTTCGTCGTCAACTGCTCGCTCTGATCTGATGTCGGTATCTGGGGGTGAAGATGTGCAATTTGATCAAGATTCCTTGCTCGACCAAGCTCTCGATGCATTAGACGAGAAAAGGTACTTCGCTTGCCATCATCAATTTGAAATTTACACATGGATGGAACTAAAGATTTTATTGTTATTATTTTTAATTTATGAAGGGGTTCCACGAGGGAGAAAGCTTTGTCCTCGATCATTGATGCTTTCAACAGCGACATGCAGCATCAGTTTGTGGACAAGAAGTAAGCTTCTGTCTTTATTTGCGTTAATTCGTTATGCTGTGCAACTCTCTTTATTGCAAAATAATCATCAAGATAATTGTATAAGTGACCGTATGTTTTGAGAAATGAAATCAAATTAAAGAACCTAGTTATGGCCGAATCATTCTAGCCTTTAATATATGTATTACAATTATGATCCTTTTGTTTTAGGTTTTGTTGCTTGCACTATTTCTAAACTAACTAACAAAATTAATTGACTATGTATGTATGATCGTGCACCTGTTTATTTATCTCTCTAAAGTGACGATTGTCATAACCTAGAGCTTATTTCCTTTATCAGATTTGCTACCTTACTACATCAGTGTCTTGCTTCAATAAAAAAAGGATCCAAAAAGGCATCTGCTAAGGAGATAGCACTGGCATCTCATGCCATTGGTAAGATTTTGAGTAACTTTCACATATTTCATACTGACTCCATTTAGTTGAATTTTTAACGACATTCATATATAGGTTGTTTGGCCTTGACTGTTGGATGTGGTGACAACGCTCGTGAGATTTTTGAAGAATCCATTCGTCCTTTGGATGAATCTCTCGCATTGAGGACAGATGTTTCAAAGACACCATCAGTAAGTTGGAGTTTGGAAATATTGCAAAGTCTTGTATTCAAACTTTTCCTTGTGATTCCTTACAGTTTTGATGCTGAGTATTTTCTGCTTAATGCCTTTAAAGTTGCTGGAGTGCTTGGCTATAATCACTTTTGTTGGAGGGAATGATGAAGAAGAAACCGAACGATCAATGGACATAATGTGGCGAGTGATTCATCCTAAATTAGGTTCCAATGTAGGTATCTGTTTCAAATATACTAAATTTTTTCAAGTTGCTGATCAGCCCTTGCGACTCTTGCATGTATTATGTTTCTGATAACAGTTGTGTAGCATTAAGTGCAAAGGCAATAACTATTTTACCTGTTTAGGTTGTTGCAGTCAAACCTTCTGCTGCATTAATAACTACTGTGGTGTCTGCATGGTCTTTTCTCCTCTCTACTGTGAGCAATTTGAAGCTAAATTCAAAAAATTGGCAAAAGTAAGGAGTCTGTTCTTTTGCATCTATTTTGATTTGATTATGCATGAGTTTGTCTTAAGTAATTTGCAATATGCATTTCACGCATCTTGGAAGAGGATTCTGATAGGTAAATTATTTTGCTTGTGAATATCATAGTTGATGGGGGTCCCACTTTAACTGTTTCCTGGAACCCCAAAGTGCAGTGCATTTGTAATCTTGATTGCTGAAAATTGTTACTGCAACTTCTTGATGCCTCTCTTGTTTGCCATTATGGAAAAGAGCTCAGAGAGGAGGAAGAGTGTGTACTCCAATTTTTACTTGAGTGAAAAACAGATGGACTATACTGAACATGCAATTATTCTTTCAATTAAGAAAAATGGATATATTTGTTGAATTGAAATATTCTATAATTACTGTTGGTTTAAAATTTGAACTATGACAGTAGCTAAATTTGATCTATTAAGTTTGTTATGCAATAACTTAAAAGTTTGATATTTAAATTTTCAACCCTTGACGAAATTGCAATCCTAATGGAAAACCGTGCCTACTGATAATTTGATCTTGTTGATTCTAATTCTATTTCTTCATGAATTTTTTTTAGGTTAATTAGTTTGCCTATTTTCAGTAATATAAAGGTAGTTATAGTGTGGGTAGAATGAAAGTTCTGGAAGGATATTCTATTGGACAGGATTAATTATTTTAGATTTAAATTACGTCTGTTTTATTTGTGGTGACGATATGTATTAATAATCTTACTACATACTATATAGAATTGAATTCTATGTAGCATTTCCCGGGATCCAACTTACTAATTTTATTGTTGATGCAGTTCAATATCTTATTTATCTAGTCTTCTTGACAAGGAAGATAGGTCTGTACGAATTGCTGCTGGTGAAGCACTTGCTCTAATTTTTGAGATTGGAGTTATAGAAAAATTTTCTGCTGAGTCAAGCGGTGCAAATGATACAACTCAAGAAGAAAATAAACCACATGAAAGCTACATATTTTTACAGGGACTTAGAGGAAAGGTGATAAATCAATGCAAAAATCTTTCTATGGAGGCTGGTGGAAAAGGTTCTGCAAAAAAAGATCTTAATAGTCAGAGGAACTTGTTCCGAGATATCTTGGATTTTTTTGAGGTATTGTAACTATTGTTGTTACTGCTATGTTGTTATTTTTATTATTATTATTTGAGAATAGAAGATTTATTGCTCATGAATCTGATTGATCTTACCTTGTGATACTAGTATGGTTACTCACCGGAAATTTCGATGAAGATTGGCGGTGATTCCCTGCAGACATCATCATGGTCCGAAATGATACAGGTATTTTTTGCATACTGTTTTTTCTAGTACTTAACAGAATCACATTTGTTGTTTTAGCATTTTAACATCCACATTTTGCAGTTGAATTTTATCAAACACTTTCTTGGAGGAGGATTCATCAAGCATATGCAGGTTGGCTTTCTCATGCTTTTTCTTTTGCAAGCTTTTGGTTATTGTGAAAAGCTGTAATCTTGAGGTCTTACCCTTTTCCCCCCTCCTCTCCCTTGGCAAATTAGGAAAATGAGTTCCTACATGATGTCTTTGGTTTCTCACCAAAGAGAAAGTATCTCAATAACAACGAACACAGAATGTCTGGTGGTGAAAAGGTAAGTTTGCGAGTGATTGGGCTCAATTATCTTGATTTTGTATGAATGATTTTCACCTTCTGTTATTTGCCCCCACTTGTAATCATGCGCTGATCTTCTTGATTCTCTCACATGCAGAGAATGTACAAGTCTCCAAATTCGGTTTTGAACAAGGCTAGGACGCAATTACTTAATAAGCAGCGGTTATTATCTGAGGTTGGCATTCTTACCATATTAAAAAGCGTTGACTTTTTTCTTGCTGTTGAAACAATACAACTTCAAATCAATGGAATGTACCATTGAAATAATACGTTTTACCGTTCTCGGAGCCTAGGTTCTGAATTTCATGGTTGTTCTGTGCAAAGTCGGTTGTGCATGCTAATTGCCATTTATGCAATTTGTGGGCTTACTCTAATCGGCGTACGTATTCTGAATTGATATGCTTAGGTTTTTTTATTTCGTTTTAACAGGGCAGAAACTTCGGCCACTACGCTGTCGGCATGGTTGACGAGGAAGCATGAATTTGACTGGGGAAAACGTTAATTATGTCTCATTTAAAGAGTCGATTATTCATTTCACATACAACATTTAATATACTTCATCTGTACTCGTGCTCTGTCTAGTTCTGTTGATTAAGACTTTATCAGTTACTATGTAGATTGACACAAGATTTATGTTATGTCATGAACGACAAGTAAATAATAACAAATATTAAGAACGGAATTCTTTTGTCTCGAAATATATATTGAAGTGGTCTACAAGATTAAAAAATGTTACTATTTACTAACTAAAAAATGTTTGATTAAGTTGTATTTTTATCAAAATATTATATTATCACTGCTGCATCATTGTTTGTAACATTTTATTTATATTTAGTATAAAGGTAATATAAGGGTGTTCAATTTTTTTCGCCAGTTGCGTTTGCCATGTCATGTTAAAATTTAATGAGAATAATTATTGTTTCAATTGATAGTCCAAATTCTTGTGATATTATATTCTTTATAGAAGTATAAATAAAAAGGTAAGTATATTTATCAGCTCTTATACTTATAGTTGATATTAATTTGGTCAGATAATTATAAATTAATTTTTATTTTTAAAAATTGTTTTAGTATTTATATAAATGTTTCATTAAGTTTTTTATTTTGATTTTGTAGATACATATTAATTAGTGTAAAATATAATAATTAAATGCATGTTTTAGTTTTTATTTTAATATCAAAGAATTTTTTAGTGATAGTAAATGATTATAAATGAAAATTTTAAAAGTATCCTTTTTCCTTACGTGACTTTAAAAAAATAAAAGATGTTTTAATAATCATATTATTAGTTCTAGAATATTGCTTATAATCATCATTTCACATTCAATTTTTTTTGAAGTCAATAATGAAGCTTTAAAATAAGTCATAAAAAAAAGAGAAATCAATCAAAAAAAAGTTGTCTATATTAAAATAAATAAAAATATGACACGTACAAAATTCTCAAATAAAAGAAATATAATGTTTAAAACTAAAAAGAAAAACACTTATATTTATATTTCTCTTATATCAAATGATTTTAAAATTTACACATTTTTTTTTATCATCTATTCTCTATTTAATTTCTTTTTCTCTCATTTTGTTTTCTTATTTTTTTTTTTCTAATTCAATCAGTATTAAGTTTGTTGCGAAAATGAATGGATCACTTGTACCATGGCATATCCGAAGTGCACTTTCGATTACCAATTATTGTACGACTTTTTAGTTTGAAAGTCCTCAAGAACATGCGGGCTGTTTATATGAAAAAAAAATAAAGAATAAAATATTAGATAAAAATATTTTTTTATTTAGTTAAATCTATAAATAAATAAAATTTAATTTTCTAAAAAAAATAAAATTATCTTCTTTTACGTTTTCTCCTCAAAACTCAATCCACATGGAACCATGTTTGACCGATCTGGTTCAGACCCTAATGCAGTCTTTCAAAGAACCCAGTCCCGATAAAGTAAACATCTTCCCCCACCTCTCTTGTTAATTGCATTCTCTGTTTCGTGAAGTCCCATTATTCATTGAGGTTGGGTATTATAACGATGCAGTCACAAAATTATTGGTGTCTTTGGTCGGTCAAGTTGTTTCTAAAATGAAGTAATAATTTCTTGGTACTTTTTTTTGTTATTGTCAAGGCAAATGAAAATGTCTCCTTTCTCCTCTTGTAATTCAGTTCAATATATTTTTTACTTCTGATTTTTTAGATTTTCTTGCATTAACTTAATAAAACATCATTCACCAATACTAAGATATTTTATAACGTTTTATAATTTTTACTAAAGATACAAGGAAAAGGTAATAGATTTTTATTACACATTTTTATTACGTATTTTTAAGTGCACGTAACCAAAAAAAAAGAAGGATATAACAGTATCATGTGATACAAGAAGAAACGAAATCCATCAGACTTGACAAGGATGACAAAGATACTTATGACCAGTTTAGTAATGATGAGAAAGTTGTGCAGAGGATTATTCTGTTTGATCTGTATGTATACTGCATGTGTGGCTTCTTTCTTGGTGATTGATTTCTGATTTGTATCTTCCGAAATATTTGCATAAATTATGTGAATTTATTCTGCACCAGCTCACAAGTCTGAAGTTGTTTCTCAATAACATACATTATATAAGGCGAAAGCAACTGAGTGAAGCTTTTGGAGTCCAAAGCACAGAGGACCTTTGTTATTATCAAAGGCATCTTAGATAGAGCAGAGACATTAATGCTGACAATATCATTCCTTCAAGCCTTGCCTACTTACTCACTCAATTGCAAAATTATCAGTGTGCCATTTCGTTTCTGCGCAGAGATTGGAGGATCCAATGGAATCATATATGGAGATAAGCTAATTTAATTGTTGGCCCTAAGCTTGACTGATGTGTTTATACTTTTTAATAATATTTGGCTTGTAATTTCTAATTCTAGTGTAGCAGATTGCTAAAACTTTATACTCTAGATTAAGTAACAACTAAATTTTATATTGAGATAATAAAGAATGAAATCATCAAATATACTGACAATTAGTAAGTTATCATAATAATAATAATAATAATAATAATAATAATAATAATAAATCATGTATAAGATGTAAAGGTGACAATTAATATTTGATTAGTGATAATGTTAGTGTGTTGCACAAGTTTATTTTAATTTTAAACAATTAATTTTAACATATAAAATATGTTAAATACAATTATCATATACAGTAAAAATATATAAATATAAATTAATTTGAAATGAAAAATAAAGTTATTTTTAAGAAAATTAAATCTTAATGGAATATAATTTTATTATAATTTTATATTATATTTAATATTTTAATAATATAAGCGCATTTTTTCTTTTATGATTAAAAAATTGAATAATAAAATTTTTAGTAAGTTATGATTTAAAAATATTAATTTTAAATATATTTAGGTAATTTATTTTACACTTTATTTTAAATTATATAAAATTATATTTTAATTATCTGAGCAATTTAAAAATTATATTTAATCAATATGTTACAAATAATAAATATAATACTATTTAAGTATATTTAATATCTATTAAACAATACTTTTAATATCAAATTTAAGTCAATTATATATATTTAATAAAAAAATTATGTTGAATGAAAAATGTTAATATTTATTAAAATTTTCAATTTAATAAATATTAAAAAATAATTATTTTTGTATAGATTTTATAATACTTATTTTTTATTAAATAGAACTAAATTAAAGAGATATAATTTTTAATAATTAAAAAATAAAGAATAAAAAAATCTGAAATATAATATTCAAAATTAAAATGCAAAAAAATAACATAATATTTAATATTATAATATTTTTATTTATTTTATTTTTAATTATGTCTTATTTAATGTATAAAATATTTATTAATAATGATTAAAATATTACAAATTTAAAAATAATCATGTAATATATATATATATATATATATATATATATATATATATACTATTTAAGAAAAAATCTTTATTAACATAGAAAATCACAATTCAAAATTTTAAAAATCATGAAATCTTAATTGCTTAACAACCCTTTTAAGATTTTGAAATTGATGACCACGATATTGAAATTAAAGAAATAGAAAGAGTTGTATCTGAATTTTTATTTATTTTTTGTATAGGTTTTTTAAAACTTTTAAAAATATAAGATTTTTAGAAAAATTACATAAATATAATTTTGTTCAAAAATTTCCAATAAGATTTGTTTATGTACTTTTTAAATATTTAATTATTTTTAAAAAAATTATCAGACAACTTTTTTTTTTAATATTTTTTTTAAAAATTACTATCAATGACTTTTAAAATTTTATTATTTTTTTTTATTTTTTATCTTTGAATTTTTTAATCTACAATCAAAATTGCCCTAGGCAACTTTTAAAATCTCTGTTTCCGTAATTTTTCAGATAGGAAACCTTATTTAAAATTGTTATAAAGCAGAGTGTGAGTAATGGCTCCGACTTCTTCACCTCCAGAGATCAACATTGAACCAGAGTATTGTCCTCAAGCCATCATTGATTGGTGCAACCACATTGCATCACAAGATCACAAGCCTCGTGGTTCCTCCTCAAGGGACCTTTCCTTAAAGGCAAAGAAGCACCTCTGTGCATTGGGTTGGAAATTTTGGTACATTGACAAGAAATATAAGTGGGAATTGCGTTACACTTCACCCAACAATGGCAAAACTTATATTTCCCTCAGAAGGGCATGCGAAAGTTGCATTGCAGAAGGACTCGAAAAGGGTACCCCTCAAATTGTTCCCGTGCTTCAAGAACACCCTTCAAAACCCAAGAAGAAAAAGCAAAGAATATGCAAAGAGGAGAGACAAAGCGATGCGGAGGAACACTCTGAATCAGAGTTAGAAGAAAGAGGTAGAGTTGTAAGAAGAGCCAAAAGGGTGTGGAATGAGGACGGGGCACAAGGTTCTGGTTCTTCACAACGTAATCCTCGAAAAATTATATCTTGGTTGCTTGATAACAAAGTTGTGGCTTTGCATTCGAGAGTTTTTTGTGGAGGTGCAAATAATGTGGTCAAGAAGGGGAAGTTAATGCATTGTGGCATTGCCTGTGATTGTTGTGGGTTGGTTTTTTCTATCTCTCGATTTGAGGCTCATGCTGAGTGTAACAAGCATAGACCTTCTGCTACTATTATCTTGGAAGATGGAAGATCTTTGTTGGATTGCCAAAATCAAGTCTTAAGTTCAAACGCGAAAGTGGTCAATGATAGCGTTTGTTCACATTGTCGTTTTGGTGGTGACGTAATGCTATGTGATTGTTGTCCCTCCTCATTTCACCTTGATTGTTTAGGTCTTGATAGTGTTCCTGACGGTGATTGGTTCTGCCCACGATGCTGTTGCAAGATTTGCCACAAACCCAGATGCAAAGAAGATTGTGCTGATGATCTGGATGATAACAGTGCTCTAATTTGTGATCAATGTGAGCGGAAATATCATGTTGGGTGCTTGAAAGCTAGAGGCTTTACCCGTCTGGGCAACCATCCTCCTAGGAAAATTTGGTTCTGCACTAGAAGCTGTGAAAAACTATATTTCAGACTGCAGGACCTAATAGGAAAAGAAAATCTTGTGGGTGAAGATAATCTAATTTGGACATTGTTGAAGATAGTGGAAAGTGATGAGAGTGAAGAATCAGATCCTTCATCTCGTGAATTTGAAGGGTTGAGTAAAATAAAAAAGAAGCTTAATTTGGCTGTTGGGTTATTGCATGAGTGTTTTGATCCACTTATTGATGCTTTCTCAGGGAGAGATATCGTTGCAGATGTTATTTTCAGTAGAGGCTTAGAATTTAGTCGTCTTGACTTTAGTGGATTCTATACTGTGGTTTTGGAGAGGAATAATGAGTTAATTTCTGTTGCCACTATACGGATTTTTGGTCAGAGTGTTGCTGAAATACCTCTCGTGGGTACCTGGAGCAAGTTTAGGAGACTGGGAATGTGTCGCATCTTGATGAATGAGATTGAGAAGAAGTTGAGTGATTTGGGAGTACGGAGGCTCGTTTTGCCTTCCACTCATAATGTGATACACACTTGGACTAACTCTTTTGGCCTTGAAAGGATGACAGTTTCAGATAAGTTTCAGTTCCTCGAACATACCTTTTTAGATTTCCAAGACACCATCATGTGCCACAAACCATTGCTGAATGCTTCAATTAATTATTAAATAGACTAAACTTTTCATGTATTGAGCAATGATAGTTATGTGATAGTTGCTTAAGGTCATTAACAATCTCTGCACTCATCCTTCTGATAGTAGTTTAAATGCTTATAGAAAAGGGTGTAATACAAAGTTATGACTTTAAAATAGTCAATTTCAATATTGATGGATTATTTTAAAATTAAATAGTTGAGATAAAAATATTATTTTATTAGAAACATAAAATTATTTTTAAGAAAATTAGCACTTAATAGAATTTAATTTTATCGTAATTGTGTATTATATTTAATATTTTAATATAGTATATGTGCATTTTTAGTAAGTTATGTTTAAAAATAAAATATTAATTTTAAATATAATAAGGTAATTCATTTTGTATTTTATTATAAATTATATTTTTAATTATCTGAAATTTATAAAATATATTTAAATTATATTTAAAATGCTTATATTAAACAACATCGAACATAATTACATTGATAAAATAATAAAATTTTAAATATATTTTCTTTCATTATATATATATATATATTATTTTATATATCATAAATATTATTTTAGTTGATTGTACTTTGTTTTTATTAAATATAATATTTTGTGCAATATTAATTCATAGAAGGTAAAAAAAAACCATCAATATCATATGAGTAATATTAAACCATCAATATTTTATATATCATAAATATTATTTTTTATTTTTAAATTTTTTTTATTAATGAACTTTTGTGCACCACTAATACATTATATGAGTAATATTAAACAAAAAAAATTAAATAAAATTAAAGATGTATTATATAATTATTTTAAATTTAAAATATTAAAAAATAATTATTTTTATAGATAATAATAATAATAATAATAATAATAATAATTTGTTATTAAATAAAGCTAAATCAAAGGGATATTTTTAAAAAAATAAAAATAAATGATAAAAATTTCAACATGATTTAATGAAAAAAATCTTATAAATACATTTTTTAAAGATATTTTTAAAAATAATCATGTAATATATAGCAATAGTTGTAGCTATACAATTTAAAAAATAGCTCGTTATTCAAATAGAAAAGCGCGCTCTAACTTAAAAGTACTTTTCAAAGACTAAAGAGTACGTTTGTTTTGATTTTAAAAAAGAGTTTTCTCTTTTTGAAAATCAAAACATGCTCCAATTAAATTTTTTTCCCTAATTAAAAACTTACAAAGAGCTGCACCAATATAAAAGTTAATACCAATGTCCTGTGTCCGCAAATATGTACACAACTTTTTATCAGCAAACATTAAGAAAAAAGTTTTTATGCGGTAACTTACATGGAAAGGAGTCAAATCAAAATTTACACGGACTAATACTTAAAAAATGATTAAAAGAAAAGGGTCTATCCTACATAAGCAATAGGCTACTAATATACAGTTTCGCAGTTTTGCGCTTTTAAGCGTTTCACATATGCTCCAAAACCAGAACAAGCCTACATTTACAAATCCCACAAACATATAACACAAGTGGCTGAAGAACACTAAGTAAGATGTGATTATCAGCACATGGAGGCAAGATTCAGTTGCTCCAGCTATCCTGATCATCAGCAGGTCCTTCATCCTGCAGTTTATCACAATGTGGTCAGGCCACAACAAAATGGAAGGATCTCTTATTTGGCAGATGTACATGATAATCTCAACAGGATTGATAAATGTGTACCATTTCATCAACGATTGATCTAGCAGGTGACCAGACAAGAATTTGTCTATCGTTTCCACCAGTGTACAATTCCTGTGACAATAAAAAAAACACTTTAATGTACATGGACATCGGGTTGTAGCTATGAGGAAGTATTACACTTCATAGATGACGTGGTTGCTGTTTAACAGGTTCTTATTTTTATTCTGAAATAATTAGTATAAATTATAAGAAATTAATAAATATTTTCCTCTTAGGGATTGGGGTCCATTTAATTCTTGCCAACAGAACACCGACTCCATCCTGGACCAAGATGGCTAAGAAAGAATCAGTAACCAATATTTTCAATATTTTCTTCTTGTGATTTGTCAGTTGCTTTCTAGTTAATTTAGATTATATAAATGGTTTCCTTTTCATCTGTCACCTTTACTTTAATTTTGTTTTAAGACACCATTTGAGAGTTGTCATATTTTGGAAAATTGTCAGTCTCATTTTCTATAGAGACTAAACTAAAAAAGTGCAACTTTTTTAGGGATCAAATATATATTTAAGCCTTAAAAGTAAGATATGTATGTGTGCAGTGACAGGAAACATACAATGAATTTAGAATAAATTTTATGAACAAAAGGAAAATGTCTACTTCCAATTGCGATCCCTTCATTTGATTTATAACCGTAGAAAAGAGTTTAATTGGCAACTGAACTCTTGTAGACCTGATTAGCTTAACAGATTTTACATCTAAAACCAGAAGTTGATGAACCACTGATTAGGAAATACCAAGGAAAGAAAATGAACATACCTGATCTTGTTGATTAAACCAGCAAGAATTCACACATTCATAGTGGCCACGCAATATAGCGTCTGTGTTCCCAGACCACATGTCAAATGCCTGAATAATCCAAATATGAGATCTGTATTCTTCATTGTATTTGTACATGTAATTTAAGTTTAAATAAATAATAAACTAAAGAAAAGGTATACTTTCACAGCTCTCATGCATGGAACGAAAACAAAGGCCGAATCTTGAGTGGTGGCTAATTGGATAGGTTTGTTTATTTGCAGGCGGACTGTTTCAAAGTTCACAAGAGTATCACAGCCAGATTCAATATCCCACAACCTCAATCTTGAATCAGACCCTGTGATTCAAGAGCATGACAGTTAGGGATAGAGCGTTTGATACAGACAGCATTTTGATGAATTAAAAGAAAAAAAGTAAACAAATTTAATATGGAGTCCCATAAAAATGATTATTGCATGGATACTTCATAAAATTCTATCATATAATAGGTAATTAAAAAACAACCTGCACTTAGTAGATACATGCCATCATCTGTTGCTTTTAATCCTGTCACAGCACCATAATGAGCAGTTGCACGATCCTGCGTAGACAGCATTCCTGGATGTAACCTCTGCTTCACTGGTCCCTTGGATGGAACTCTGCCAATTGGTAGTTGTCTGCTACCACTTCCATTGGCATGCTTCTTTTGTGCAGCACGTAATTTTGTACTTGAATCCTGTGAGCGATGAAGCTTTGGATTATAACAACGCAAAATAATACTACATGCTACTTGAGGTACACTAAAACAGTCATGACTTGCAATAATCATTGCTCAAACTCACTATCTGCAGAAAGGGAATGTGCTAAACTTAAAAAAGAAGGGGGGGAAAACCTTAGTTATCATGGAGCATTTGAGTATAGGTGGGCGTCTTCCAAGCTGAGTTTGGGATTGATTTAAAACTAGGAAACATCCGGCGCGCCTGATGTCCCAAAAACGTATTGCACCATCACATCCCCCAGTAACTAAGACCCATTCACTTGAAGTAGACCATTCAACAGTCATTACTCCATCTGTCATTACACAAAACATGTGACGCAAAACCTCTTTTTTCTGTATTTCATATGAAATAAATTAGCTGACTATAAATATTAGGCAAATGCAAACTAGTGCTCCCAAGGGCATTGGTTAAGAAATAAAAAATAGAAAAATTTTAGTAATTAATGCTTTCTTGTTTTGGTTTTCAATAAAAACTTTCCATTAATTAATTCCTTACCTAGTGCTTTTAAGACACTAGTTAGCAACATGGTAAATATTAACACTTGTAAGAAGCACAAAATCAGTGATGCTTGTCTAATAGAACCACCTCAACATGTCCTATTGCATTGGTGTGATAAGAAAAAGAGCATGATTTAGCCACACACCCTAGCCCAGTAACCAACGATCTACTAAACTAAACTATTCTATCCGATAAAAGAATTGAACAGAACAAAAGGAACAAAGCATTGGCATACCGCGGTGACCGGACAAAGTGTGAGTGAATGCCCCGGAAGCAATATCACAAAGGCGAACTTGAACATCCTCAGTGCCAGCAGCGACAAGCATGTGAGACGTTGACAAATTGGATATGGCAGTCCGATAAACTTTCCCAGGCATTTTGAAATTCACCACCACCTACACAATTCAACCAACAACATTACCTTAAAACAAAACCCAAACCGAATAAAGAGGAAATGGAAGCAGAAGAAGAAGCACGTGACGACCTGCGTGGTGTTAGTGTCCCAAACATTAATATGATGATCATAGGAGCCAGTGATGAACAATCCCGTGTCAATTGGATACCATATAGCTGATGATACGGCATACTTGTGAGGCGTTTGGTGCTGCTTATCAACGACGAATATGGACCTGTGTTTCGATATCACACCACCTGCTTCCGAAACTGTGGGTCGTTGAACGTCGTAAACGGCAACGGAGGCATCGGATGCGGCAGATAACAAATATCTTCCCTCTGTCGAATCAATCTGATTTAACGGTCAAAACGGTGGAATGCGAAGTGAAGAAAGGGTTTGGATAGAAGAAAGAAGAGTGAGTACCTGAAGACAGTTGATGGAGCCTTTGTGAGGGGAAACGATGTCTTTGTGATTTGATAATTGAAGTTGGGAAATGCGATTGGACTTCACGCGATTCGCGAAACAATGTGCACGTAATTTCCCAGCTTCTCTGTCTCTGATCTGCTTCCACATGTTCCGAGCATCTTTGGATTCAACACTTAACACTTTTCTACTGCTTCTTCTTCTTCCTCTTCTATTCTACTTTCTCCCCGGTTTTCCCTGTTCCATAATCTTTGTAAGACATATCCGCAAAAAGAGTCAAGTGGATTCCATCATTGGGCCCCATCACTTCGTCAATGACCCACTACCATTGCTCCCGGCCCAACTTCGTACTCAGTCCAGGCCTCATGTTTTGGTTTTTTGGGAACAACGTGTATCCGCTGAACACCCAAAATAAATAAAAAGAAGCTTGTTCAAATTAAGCATGGCGGGTTTGTGTTTGTGAACACACGACCATATAATTTTATTTTAAAATGAATTTAAAGTGACATTATTTATATTTAAAATTTTTTCTTTTAAAAATATTTTTATAATAAAACTTAATATAAATTTTTCAACTCAATACATAAATTATATTCTATCATGTTAATTTAAATGAGTTTGAAGACAAAATTAAGTTTGATAAATTCAAATTTATACTAAAATATATAAAATTTCATGATTCTTTAACGATAATCTAAACATGCATAAAATATTTTCTACATGAGGTATAAAAAAGTATTTATCGCTTAAACTTACCATATATTAGTTGAGTTTTCACTTTGTTTGATATCATTTTATATTTTCCATAAAATTTGACATTTTAAATAATATGTAATTTATAAATTTATTACTAATTAATGATTAATTATTACAATTTTAATAATTATTTTTATTAATAAATATAACGATATTAACATTATAAAGTGCATCCTAACAAGTTATTTTCAATCAATACAAATTTCCAGGTGCTCACAAACTTGTACGTTTTGGTTTTCTGTTTGACATAATATTGCTGATATAATAGTAGGAAATTGCATGATAACTATACAACATATAAAATATTACTTTTTAAAAGGGAAGGAGAAGAAAGAGAAAAGACATGTCGTAAAAGCAGGACGAGGTACGTAGATGTCGGGTTCACTCACTACCCTACCACTCTCTCTCCCTCGTGCTATTCATGCTCCATTAATAGATTCTACCCTTTACCTTTTGTTGCACTACAATTCCAATCTAATGTGATATCTGATGGGATTAATTTTCTGGATTATTAATCATGTTTTGTCTAGTCATTAGGTAGGAACTAGGAATAGCGTTTGAAATTATATTTTGACTAAAGAAGCCCAAATAATGAAAGTACCTAGTTCAATTCAGTTTTTTCCATTGATTTTAGCTTATTATTGACTAATATTAATCGATATTTTACTCTACCGATTTTTTGAATTGTTGGAACTATTGATTTAATCAAGTTGAACCAGGCAATATGTTTCCCATCCATTCTTAAATTAAAAATTTGGAAAACATTTTTACTACCAACTCTCTTTGTCAGTAAGACAAGTAACTTCTCCTACATCAATTAACTCGCTTTTTAATTAATTTTTCCCTCAAATATTTTTATTTAAATTTCATTAATAACACTAAAAAAGTACTTCACTCGTTGGTGATATTGTCTGTCCTTCTTTCTAACTGTTTAATGATGTTTATTTTATTCTGATAAATTTCTCTTTATTTTATAAGTCAAGCTGTCTTAGATTTCTGGGTGTGTCATCAGTTGGGTGTCTTAGATTTCTCTTTATTAAAATTTCTTTAAATTTAACTTTGCAGATTAAAACATGATTTAAAATTTTTAAAATTTGTACCCGTATAACTGTCAATTCTATAATATAATTAATTTCATTTCTAAATTTACATTTAAGTTAATATGATAAACTATAATTTTATACATTTAAAATATTAAGTTAATTACGATAAATTTAATTTAAAATTAAATAAAATTAATTTTAAATTATTTTTTTCATTCAGTTAAATTTGGATTCAACTCAAGTCTTATATTTTAATAAATGAAGGTGAGTCCATCGTTAAATTTTTTTTGTATATAAAAATATTTAAATATAAAATTTTACTTAAATAATATTGCGATTGATTAAAAAATTTTAATTTTTAATATATATTATTTAAAAGTATAAAATTATTATTCTTGTAACTTTAAAACAAACATGAATTTAATCTATTAATCATTCTACTAGTTAGATTGAAATACTTATACACGATATAGGTCTCTTAGATTATTAAAATGAAATAGAATAAAATAAAAATATTAAACTGTATCTTTTATTTTATTTTTTCATTTGATCATGCATCTGACATATTCCACTAGGTTTCACTTTTCTTTAGTCCCCACCCAGGCACCTATCTGGCTTTTCTTTTTAATTAAAAATTCAAATAAATATTTTTGAACGGGAAAGCTTCAACACTGAAGTTAAGTTGAATCAATGTGAAACCAGCTTCAAAGAATCCACAACTCTGCAACCACCATTGCTGCTACTATTATTATTCCATTAGCAAATTCACAGAAAATAAATAAATAATATTCAGATCTCCAAATCCAGTTCACAACATTTGCATTATTTGAGCTTTCATGGCGTCTAACACCGCCAAAGTTTCCGTTATTGGAATCTGGTTTCGCTGTGGTAAATCCAATGCTTTGTTCTCATCGTTTCTCTCGCCCTTTTCACCATCGCTGCACAACCTTTTGTCCTCTTCGCTTTTTCTCTGACCTCTCTCCATCCTCCTTCTCTGTGCTTTGTTAATTGCTTCAACACATCATCGTTGCATTGTTCATTATGCTAACTTAATTACAATTAACAATAATTAATAGCTTTGATTTCAGTTGTGTAGTTCAAAGCTAACGGAAACGCGTTTCTTAAAAGGTGTGTGTGTTGCTGAGAAGTGATAGTCACTTTTCTACGGAGAAGATGTTGTGCGCTTGCTCCGGCGAGCAATTCAAATTCGAAGAGCCGCCACGGTCGCCGGAGTCTCTCGCCACGAGGGATTTCTCCGCCAGTGGGCTTTCTTCGAGGACTGGGGAATGGGAACCGAAATTCGATGAAACGCAAGTTGAAGAAGCTGAATCTACTCTGAAGGAAGCTCTTTCCTTAAACTACGAGGTAGGCAGCAAATGAAATTGTAATGCATTTTGTGTGTATTTGTTTTTGGTTGAAATGTCATGTCATGTGCATTTTGAGTGAATTTCAGGAGGCTAGGGCTTTGCTAGGGAGGCTTGAATACCAAAGAGGGAACTTCGATGCTGCTCTTCAAGTGTTTCAGGGTATAGACATTAAGGGTTTGACCCCGAGGATGATCAAGGCAATTGCTGAAAGAACCAAGCAAAGAAAACCACGTTCGAAGGCTGATTTTATTGTTCCGAATGTGATGTCATTGCATTCGGTTAGCCTGCTTCTTGAGGCAATTTTGCTTAAAGCAAAATCATTAGAGGAACTTGGGCGATACATTGGTTGGTACCTAATATTACCTTTGTTAGACCACTTTCTTGTGCCTGTATGTTGCTTGATAAAACGAAAATTAGCCTTTGTTAAATCGTGCAATTGAATTTTGCATATGAGATATTGAAGGTTACTCGATTTGAAGTATCATCATATAAGCGTGTATAAATTTAACTGCATTATATGGATTATATGGGTGAGATGAGAGGTTTGTTTGACACTCAAGGGTGCCGATTCTGATGATGCTAGTGCTTTCTTATATTTGCCAGAGGCTGCAAAGGAGTGCAGAATAATTCTTGATACAGTTGAATCTGCCCTTCCTAATGGAATGCCTGAGGGTATTGGTGGAGATTGTAAGTTGCAAGAGATGTTCCATAAAGCATTGGAGTTACTTCCAAGCTTATGGATCAATGCAGGCTTTCTTGATGAAGCTGTCATGGCATATCGTTGTGCTCTGGTCAAGCCATGGAATTTAGAGCAACGAAGGTTGGCTGGTGTACAAAAAGATTTAGCTACAATGCTACTCTATGATGGTGTTGAAGTAGGCCTACCCTCTCAGTTGCAAGTGTGGGGGCAGACAACACCCAAGAGTAATGTTGAAGAAGCAATACTTTTGCTATTAATTCTCATGAGCAAGGTGGCAATTCAGGAAATAGACTGGGATGCTGAAATAATGGATCATCTCACATTTGCGCTTTCAGTCACTGGGATGTACGAGTTATTGGCAGATCATGTAGAACAGATTCTTCCTGGTATATATAATCGAGTTGAGAGGTGGTACTTTCTTGCTCTGTGTTATAGTGCAGCAGGACATAACGAAGTAGCGTTGAATCTTTTGAAAAAGGCTTGTGGCAGTTCTGAAGCAAAGCATAGACTCCATTTTCCTTCATTTTTGTTTGGAGCAGAACTCTGTTCCCAAGATCCTCATCATGCTCACGAAGGCATTAAATTTTCACATGAAGTTATTGATCTAGCTAAGCACCAAAACAAGCATTTTTTGGGTCAAGGTCACAAATTTCTTGGTATTTGCTATGGGGCTGCAGCTAGAACTTCTGTACTGGATTCTGAAAGAAGTATATTTCAACGAGAGTCTTTGAACTTTCTAAACTGTGCTGCTGTAAATGGAAATGGTGACCCAGAAGCAATATTCAGCCTTGGACTGGAAAATGCAATTCAAAGAAATCTGGATGCGGCTTACAACAATGTAATTATGTACTCAGATGTAATTGTTGGCAGTTCAAGAGGTTTGCAGTTGTTAGCACTCATAGTATCAGCACAACAGCGGTTTAAGGATGCTGAAACAATAGTTGATTTTGCTTTAGACGAAGCTGGGAGGATGGATCAACTGGAACTTCTAAGATTGAAAGCAGTATTTCAAATTGCTCAGCAGCAACCAAAGCAAGCCATAGAGACATATAGGATCTTGCTGGCATTAATTCAAGCCAAAAAGGAGCTTTGGATGCAAGTTAACAGCTTTGATCAAGCACAAGCATTCAGACATGAGGTGTGTAATACTTTTAAGCGAACAACTCTATACGTTGCTTCTATAAACTGATATTAAAGTAGATCGAAAAGAAGCAACATCCTTTTCTGCTGAAAGCTGCTAAAGAAAAGACGGCTATGTCTAGACTAGTTTTAGCTAATACTCCTAAGAGGTATTGATATCTGTTAAATGAAACTCCCCCTTCTTCCTCCTTTCCTAAAATTATATGCTTGAATTTTCAGTTCGGATGATGAAAGATTATCCTATGCCTAGAGTGGAAGAATGGGAATTGATGATCTGGAGCAATTTATTTTATTTGATTATTGTTATTTGTAATGATTAGTTTCATCTATGAGATATCGAGAAGAATTCCTCTTCTAACTTTTTCTTCTTTTCTTAGCAGGCATTAACTGAAAGGAAGTTAGAAATGGAAGCCTGGCAGGATTTGGCTACCATTTATAAGGATGTCGGTTCCTTGCTTGATGCAATAGCTTGTGTTGATAAAGCCCAGTTGATAGAATTTTTTTCTCCAAGAAGTTGGCATATTACAGGTAAGGAACCTAGCTGTTCTGGTTTTTGTGGTTGAACCCTGCATGTTTCTGCATTGATTGTTTATGCTTGTGGTCAACTAATATGTAATTCCATGGCTGTGCACAATTCCAGGGATGCTGCTTGAAGCTCAATCATTATATAAAGAGGCATTTGTTTCCTTTTCAGTATCATTGTCAATAGAACCAGATTACATTCCCAGTATCATTTCAGCTGCAGAATTGTTGCTTAAACTTGGTATGCAATCACTTCCAATTGCAAGAAGCTTTTTAATGAATGCTCTGCGGTTAGAACCTACAAATCATGATGCTTGGTTCAACCTTGGATTGATTTCTAAAATGGAAGGTTCATTACAGCAAGCAGCAGAGTTCTTTCAAGCTGCTTATGAGCTAAAGCTTTCTGCCCCGGTGCATAAATTTGAGTAATTGAGACTTTGGGAAAACATCGTTAATGTTTTTGGTTGAGGGAAAGTGCGCTTGACTAACAACATAATGGAAAACATGCGGGAAGCAACTAAATGACATAAATATTCACCCCACGATTACCATTGGTTGGTCATTGATTTGTTCAAAATGTATAGCTAAATCTAGCTACTTATTATATATTTCTTCATTCTGTTCTAATCAAATGTCGTTGTTTCACAAGTAGAATTAATGGTCCACAGAAATGGTAAAGCTTTACCTTTATATTATCTTATGAAAGAATGACAATTGACTAGTAGCAGATCTTTGAAGTTGCCACGATACATACTGCGTGATTGTTTCTTCCTTCGTATCTTTCTAGTACTTTTCCAGTTTCTCTACCGTGTAAGAAAATTACTCTCTTGCTGATCACTATTTCAAATTGTTCATTTAGCGTACTTAGTAAACATCATATAGAGATCTTAACGTTGGTTCAAAGGGTTGTTGAGGGTGTGAAGCCAGGTATTAAAAGAAAGAAAAATAGAACAAGAAAGGAGAAGCAAGCTTTATGTTACCGGGAAGATTCTTAAGTGATAAGGCAATCGCTTTTCCCTTAATGACAGATTCAAGATGACGATTACGACTTCACCTATCAATCTAACAACCCGTTGTTAATTTTAAATTAGCAGCCAACATTTTCAATAAACCTTTGTTTTCTTCAATTCTCCCAGTCCCAGGGCAGGAAAACCAAGAATTGGGAATTGAGTATTAAACGTTTCTTCTACATTTAATAATCAAGTCGATCCATCCATTTGACAGGAACGATAACCTACAAATACCCTGCCAACCTACGGCAGGGTTGACTGCAAGATGAGATGCACAAATCTGGGACCTGGGACTAGTTCTTGTTTGTTCTGGGAGTAATACTCTTTAAGATCCTTCACTTAAATTGATCTGATGACATTCAATTTCTGTTCATATTCTTGGCAGCTCAAACTATTACTGAAAGAGTATGTTGCAAGCACGTATTTCACCGAAGATAGAATCATAAAACAAGTGCATGTTCTTACTCCTTAGCATTCTCCCCCATCCCCCCAACTCAAAGAAAAAGAAACATAAATTGGTTGATGCATTGAATATTGGCAAAAGGACAATCGATTTTCTTCAATATCAAGAAAGGGAATAAAAACACCAAACTACATTCTCAACTTTTCCTTGTTTCCTTTACATCACGAATTCTTTGCAATCAAACAGAATGTTTCTTGGTCTGGAAAACAACAAATTTGACCGATGGTACAGTTGTAAGGAAGACCTTCTGTTCATCTTCGGAACAATGGAAAGCTGGCAGTGCAGAGGCTTTGATTCTATACTTAGTTCTGCAAAACAAAAAAAGGAAAAGTCAATGAGGCAAATGATCTTCTACATTCTAAATTGGAAGGAGATACTTTCATTGTGCACCGAAGAAGTTTTAAATTTCTTTCTTAGCTGACAATTCAATCTGTTACACACATAATAACTCAGGAATGTCCTGATATACACAATGTAGAAAAGGGGTGAGTTTAACCCAATTCAACTGGATTGGATTGATAGTTTTGGATTTATCTATTTGATTAGAAGATTTTCTAATGATAGTTTTGAATCAGGAATAAAGAAATTTCTATATTGAGATTAACTACCTAATCTATGACCAAATTTATTTAGGGAAAAAAAAATCTTTTTGTTATGCTCCCTCTTGCATTAATCACTTTTTAATGTGAATGAGTGGTGTAGATATGTGGCATTTTGCAGACACAGTATAAGCTACGCTCGAACAGTATTCAGGAAGATTTGTGAATTTGGCTATCATTGATATTGTATAATTAGATGCATGCCACTGTACCCAATACAAAGTTGATTTTGGCTAAATAATTGTTATGTTGCACCTTTTTTGACTTGGTGAAATGAGCTGCATTGCTGTAAACGTCAAACTTTGTCTATGCAAATTGTGAATCTTGTTAACAGGAAACAAGAAAGTTTTAAAAAGGGCAACCTAAAGTTAAAATTTGTCAGATAGATCATTCACCTTACATTAATAAACAGGAACCTCAACCCATCTGCCACTGCATCAAAAATGAAAAGTCAAACCACATTATCAATGTGGTCTAATAAATTGATGAACATTGTCTAAATCTTGAAGGTTATTAACCAAACGGCAAGGGAAACAAAGCAGCATATCAAAGGGAAAATTTGCTTATGATTTATTAATTAAAAAAATGCAACAAAATCCTAATCAAATTTGACGGAATTTCTCCTCAATTGTATGATGGTACTTTAGCAGAGATTTAACCAGAGTTTAAGTTAATACTTGCCAAAAAGTATGTGGCCCTTCGTATTACTAAATTTTTACAAACGGTTCGCCATGATTGGAGTTCTCAGCTTGCTTTTCCGTTTCTTGTGGTTTTGCCTCTTCTTGTTGCTCTTGCCTGAAATGACAATCAACACCTAAAAGTTATTCGACATATACCTATATCATCACCCCAAAAAAGGGCATTATAAGAACATTATATTATTTTTTCATGGGTCAAAAAATCTTTACAGCTTTCTACACAATTATGCTACGTAACCGATTAGTAATTACGATGGGACTTGCATGCATCTTCTAACACATCAACTTCCACAAACACATGGACGTATGAATGTATGTATGTCCCACTCAGGATGCCTTTCCCATTATCGTATATTTCCATAACAGGAAATGTAGACCATAATCCCAAGTTACACGAAGAAGAATCACCATGCATGCCGAAAGCTTTACGTAGCAACATGAGGTATTAATTAACATATGATATTATTGGACGAGAAGCATGCAAAAAATATGACAACAATAGATCGATTTCCACATGCATAATGATCTAGGTTCTTACATACCACGTGGCATGGGTGTTCAAATAAAAACCCAAATCCATAAACATTTGCAGGAAATGCAATGATTATATACATATATAGCCATGATATAAACAAAGCATGATGATGAAATGGTATTGAAAGAAGAAGGGTAATTAAGAAAATGCATGCATGCATGCCTTTTCTGAGCGGCTTCAGCAGCTCTAGCGCGCGCTTCTTCAGAGGCCAATCTCTCTTCTTCCTTCGTCATGCGCTTGTTGCCCCCATCGAAGCAACCAAAGCACAACCCCATGTTTTCTTCCCTCTCTCCCCCTCCTCCCCCCCCCCCCCCCTCTCTCTCTCTCTCTGTGTGTCACCTTATGATCTCTCCCTTTCTCTGTTCTCTTTCTTTCTGTTTCTTTTCTCCTTGCCTTTGCACCTCCACAACCTGTATTTCCCTTTTTCTTTAAATTATCTACCTTCCCTTTTTTCGTTGGAGTTTGTCTTGTATTGTGGATGAGGACGATATGATAAGATGCTATATTAATATTAGTATTAACAATAATTTAACTAGAAAAGGCCTTTGTGCTTTGCATGTTCTGTGAAAATCCGTTGCGTCATTCCGCGTTAAATATGTGTCACCCACTCATTAGTTATGATAAGGCTGTGCTGTTTACAGGAATGAAACGTATAAGTATGAGATAGAAGATATTAAATATAAAATTAAATCATGTGTAAAACAATAATCTAATTTTTTTTTCTCGATATCAAATGTGTTATTGTAATTGAAGACTTATGAATAAGATAAAATAACCTATCAAGATTACATGGTTCACATACATTATCGAAAGCGGATTCTAAAATTTGGTAATAATTTAGTTTTTTTTTCCCTCAATTATGTTAAAAATATAGAACTATCAATAATGCTTATTGTTAACTATACGGTTTTTTTAATATATATCTAAAACTACAAAATAAAAAGTTAATAAATAACATTTTTTATTTAAAATTATATTTAATATTATTAATTTATTAAATTTTGTAATTTGTAATGAAAAAACTGTATATTTTTCGTGTGTCGTTAGATACATTAAAAAATTTGTTAACAATGACTATTTTTTATTGTCGTGGCTAAAAAGATTACTGTAGATAGTTCTCCATACTTAATAAAGTCATTGACACTTCTTGAAATTTTCCAAGTGCATTCCCACGATAAAAGTGGCCAATTTTTTTCGTTTTAAAAGAAATTGCAAGACTAAATACTATTCTTAATACTAAACATTTGTTAATTAGAATCTCTAATTAAGTACTTGTTAATAATTTTTCTATCTAATTGATAATGCATTTTAGTTTGACTAAGCTTATGTCTAGACTTGTAGATTGTTCTGGTATGTTGCTCTAATACAATTTTCTGGGGTCATCGATAAACGATAAATAAGAACCTTTCATTCTTTTGTGGTCTACTGAAATACATGGCATGCATGAGATTATCTTGAACAAGTAGGCACGTCATAATTTGGGCTCTAGATCATGATTGAGTATTTCAACTCTAGTCCACGACGTTGTCTGAAATATAAATAAACTGCGCTTACCTATTTTAAACTTCTATGAAGTTATGCTAAGTATTTTTGTAGTTTTAAAATCGTGGTAGCTTTTCCTGTTTTAATTATAATTTTCCAATATATCAATATCATCCTATATTAAATAAACAAAGAAAAGGGATCATAAGTCGAAAAAGATGATAAGGATATAAGAATTTGAAGAGCTTAACACGCCGGAATCGTTGCCAATCCTGGTGACTTTTGCGCAGCGATTAAGATATATATACTTGGCTTGTGGAATGGAAGAAGATCAACGGAAGCGCTCTATTTTCTTTGCAGTGGGAACGGACATATATTTTCTAATAGTATAACCTCTGCGATCTCACTTTTTTCACAGAACTTCTAGATTTGTCGCGAGGACTTTGAATTTGGGCTTGCACGGAAGTAAACAACCACTATCTCTTCAGTTCCCTCATTTTTTTAAGACTTAATTATTACGAGCTTTTCTCAAATTCAGAAGAAGAAAAAGAGTAAATAAGCATTAATAAGCAACACGTCGTGCAACGAAGATCAATAAATAAAAATCGTTACGTATTTACATTGTTGTGCTTCAAAAAATGTTGCGTGTATATAATTAATGGAATAGATAAATCAATAAATATTAAACTTTATTAAATTAAAGTTTAATTATATATATATATAAGGGAATTTAAAAATTCTTATACTTAATATAAGTCTTTCATTTAATTTAAATCTAACGAGTTATAATTTATTATTTTACTGACCGTTAAATTTAAGTTAAATAAAAGACTCAGATTGACTGTAAGAAATTTTAGACTTACACTAAGCATGATCTTTTTACACCAGTATAAGTCTAAAAAATTTTACACATAATTTGAGTTTTTTATTTAACTTAAATATAATAGTTAGTAAAATAATAAATTATAACTTATTAAATTTAAGTTAAATAAAAGGTTGAGATTTAGTGTAAAAATTTTTAGACTTATATTGGTGTAAGAAAATTCTGTCTCTAAAATTTTTATTTTTATTTTTTCATAACCTAACTCAGTTGGCGGGGAGTTAGGTGGATGTTTTTTTGTGAGTTGGATGGTAAAGATAATATACAAGTGATGACAAAGGAGGACCAACAAATAGGCTGCGGAATAAATAATAATGAGACAATGCTACCCAACTGATAATTGCTACGGCTTCTCATCTCTTTTAAGAAAACAAAATTTATTAATATTAATAAAAATAATTATATATTATAAATTTATATATTATTTTAAAATATTAAAAATATTTAAAAATTGAATAAAGAATTATTCTCAATCTCAATGAAAAGAATGAGAAACCTAAATGTAAGCCAATTAAAAAGAGGTAATTAACAAAATACTATATAAATTTTTTAAGAAAATATTTGTATTTTATTTTTTAATTTTTTTATCAAATTTAATCTGAATCCAATTTGAGTTATGCATCTACATACAATGGTATTATTTTTAATTATTTAATCATAATCTTAAAAACACTTTAACATTTAACATATTTAATAGATTCAAAATTATATTCTGATTCTTTATTAATGATCTCTTGTGAAAAAATATTTTATTATGATAAATTTGTATAATTAACAAATTTTATAATAATATAATTATCTTAGAAGACAAATAATGTGAGATTGAAGAAATATATTTATAAAGATAGGTAAACGTTAGTTAATATTTTTAAGGCATGACTTAAACAAAATTGTAAAAAATAAATCCTTCTATTATATGTGTATAAACATCTAATAAGAGAATAAAATATAAATTTTTAATTAAAATTATTTATTAAAAAATATAAATATCATTTATACATATTTTTAAATCATTTAATAAGACATATTTAATGCATTGACACCATATACCACCACACAGTATCAAATCAACGGTCCCTTAAAAAATAAAACATTTATAACATTAAAGCTATAAAAGTAATTTAATATTTAAAAAGTAATATCCATTAATATTAAATGTTAAATTTAGATATTTATACTGTAAGAGTATTTTAAAATTTAAAAATATTTAATAAAAAGTTAAGATTGACTAATGTTAAATTTAAATAATGATATTATCTAATAATTTCTATAAAATGTAAGATTAACTAATTTTAATTGTTAATTTAAAGATTCGTTAAATCAATTTATAAAATTTTATATAAATAAAATTATTAAATATTTTATTAAATTACTTTATTTTAACAGGTAATATATTTTTAAAATTTAAGTAAATATTAAATTTTAAATAATATATATACAAATATTTAAGTTATATAAAATTAATTTAATGGTTGAATCAGTTAACTGCGCATTCTACAAAAATATTAAGTAGGACAAGGGTTTAAATTTAATATATAATGAAAACTTATCATCTCCCTTTGATATAACATATTAAATGTTAGCTGTTTAATCAGAATGTATACTTAATGTTCTTTAAAAGCCTCGAGACTGGAATTATCATCATCGCGTTTGATTTTAAAGAACTTTACAAAATCATGAATGCTCCATATACATCATTATATATACGAGCCCAATCTCTCTACACAATTTACACTGGGAAAACGCCATCAAGAGAAGTATTGAATTTTCAACCTGTCTCAAGAACGTCACCAAGAAAACGTGTACATATTTACACATACTAACGAAGAAAAGGGAAATGGAAGAAAAACCATTAAAAAAAGAACGAATTATATCAGATAATCGATCTTCACCAGCTTTTCTGGTGGCCATGTTTCCTTGGAGAAAGTAACCCTTGATCAGTTTTCACCATCTTCTTTTCACTATTATTATCTTTCTTCTTCAATTTCCTAGGATTCGAGCTATCACCACTCAATATGGGGACCGCATACCACATAACACAAGTGCAAAGTGTTGCAAAGGATCTCCCAAACACGGTCAAGAAAACCAAAATCAATACCATAACCAATGGCACATAAAAAGAAGGCCTCTTCAACATGTTCCAAGAAAACCCATAATTCTTCTTATGAGATTCCAACTTGGGTTGCTTTCTTTCTTCCACTGTGGCTTCATTAGGTTTCTCCAATTGCTCCAAGAAAGGTGTGAAATGTCTAACTCTGAGTTCTTCGCTCTTGTGTTTTTTCTGTTCCTTGTTCTTCACTTTGACCACGATGGGAACGAAATCATCATTGCTGGAATACGCAAATCGAACGATAGATATATCCTGAGGACTCATCTGTGAGTAAACCTTTTGCCTTCTCTCGTTAAGATCAGCCAAAAGTGCAGAAAACTTGTCTAAGCCTCGATTGGAGTATGGGTTGTTACCTTTTCTTTTGGACTTCCTGGGGCTTGAACATGCTCCACCATCTTCTTCTTGGTGATGGAAAGTGCCACAAACAAAAGGGTTCAACATATGGAAAGATCACAAAGATGGGTTTTGGTTGCTGTGAGGAACTTTTGGAAGGATTAAGATTAGATTGAAAACAAGAAAGGGTGATGTATTGAGAAATATATTTATTCTTCTAAGTAGAGGACTTGACTGGATCTAATCAATCTTGGCACGCCTCAGAGTCAAAACAAAGGTTTGAAATTTAATAATGTAAGAGGTGCCAACGTGGCTATGATGATCTTTGACTAGTTCGAGATTTGTGTATCTGTTTAGCTTATTCTTTTCAGACCATGTAATCTCATATATTAAGGTGACGATGGCGTAGAAAAATGAGTTGTGGATTGTAAAATATTGACAACATGTTACTTGAGGACGAGGGTGTTGATTAATTGAAAATGTCAATGTCATTCATTAATAATAACAAATTCCGTAATGTCATCAATATTTTGTCGATCCATTTAATTGTGTCTTCTAGAAGGAAATTAAATTAGGTATTGATACTACGAAACTACGAAACTGAAGGACAGCAAAGGTTAGTTGGCAAGGAAAACCATGGTCTTCATAGTGCTTGGTATGGTTGGATGCACAAATTAATAATTTGCAGAAAAGTTTACAAATAGCAAGTATTTTGTTTTTTAAACTTTTTAAATTTAATTTTTTATATTTTAAATTTAAGTCAAAATAAAATTGTTCAAAAAGAAAATTAGATATAACTTGAAAGCTAATAAATTAATTGGAGATAAAAAAAAATTCGGTAACAAATTATTAAACTAGTTGACAAGTGTAAAATGACATAAAATAGCTTATTTGATCACTTGGTTATAATTTGAAATTTGATAACTGTATATGCTTTCAAATGATTATCAATTCTTATATTTTAATTTATTTTATATAATTGATCATCTTAAAAATTAAGATAATAATATTTTAATGATTTTTGTAAAACAAATAATAATTATATTTTAAAATTATTTTTATTAAATAAAAATAATATAAAATTTATAGTATAATTTAATCATTTGTATTATAAATAAATAATAGTTGACGAGAGTGAGAGGATGAGAGTGAAAGAGTGTTAAGGATTTTTTAACATAAAAAACGTAACAAGATAGGGAGAATAAAAATTAAAAAAATCAAATGATAACTTATAAACTTAAATGTTATATGAAAAATGTTTTTAAAAAATTATAAACTAGTAAAATAAACTTTTTTTATAACAAATTATTTTAGTCAAAATTAAAATTTAACTTATTTACCTTGTCAAACGCACTCAACATTTTCCTTTTATTTTAACAGATAATATGAACAAGACTTTTTTTATTGTATATATACAACGAGGAAGTTGAAAGTTCAACGTGTTTCCACTGATTTGACTACTCTCTCCTCCCAAAAAAAATTGACTAGTTCGCGTGAGCACACACCCTGGACGGGCACCGCGTCCGTGTGTAAGTTGAGGATATCCAAGTCTTCCTTTTTTTCTTGAACTTGGCATCATTTTTTTGTGTTTCGGTCAACTTGTAAATTACAGGGAAAAGTATATTTGAATAGCGTCAAACAAATGCTTGTTTTTTAATTAGGAATGATAATGGATAAAACTTGAGTATGATATTATAATATGTATAGTTATATTTACTGTTAAAAATATATTTTAAGATTCAAATTTGTATGTAATTACTTAATTTTAATTCCCATATCCTAAAAATATCTAGATACGCTTGAAGACTTATTACCCATACTTCATTCGCGGATGCGTACATTTCCTGATTCTTATGGAACTTGAGGAAACAAGTTGCTCTGAAGCAAAGCACCACACGCATATCGGTGTTAGTATGACACTCAGCTGTATTCTCTACTTGCATTACTTTGACTTAAATTTCCACGCTTGACTTTTGCAGAGCATGACACGACAGCATAACATATTCGCAGAGCATTTCAAATATCATGCTGTCATCTAAAGAATAAAATGATATATACCCTTCAACATAACAATCATTTTGTAACTAGATTTTTCATTTGGCATATGCGTTGCAGTCATCCAGCATAAATATTGACTAATTCCTATACACATTGCTCACACTCTCCAACAATGAGAAAACATCTATGCTGAACGCAAAAATTAAAATGAATTAACCTCAGAACAAACGAAAATCTCATTCAGGACTACTAGGATGTAGGCTTCTGATCTTCATGATATTGTACATATCAAACTTAAAAACTAAACAAGCTAGCCAAATTTGGCAGTTGGACAGACCCAGAATTAGCTAATAGCATTAAGTAGCTGGTAGCTCTGCTGCTTCCACTACATTTTCATGATCTTCATTACCGTAAAGACGAGAAATCCAAACTGTCACAATAAATAACCTGTGCAATATCTGAAATGGGAGTCACAACAAGCTATTAGTAGAGTTCACAAAAGCAACGAGCACAGAACAATAGCAACTTAACAGGGAATGAACAAAGTAAAATTACTCACCATCGTATCTTTTTCTTTCATTTACTTAATATCTCCATCAATCATCCTAATCAATATTTTCATCATCTTTCATGTACTTTTCTTGCACCGCTGCAACTGTAGATTTCTGAGTTAAGGGAAGCTCAGAATTCAATATTTTAAGGCAGGCTTCGCCAGGAAAGTGGTCAAAGGAAAGTAAGCAAAGCAATTGAGACATGCAAGATTATCAGAACGCTAACTAAAACTATATCATTAGCAAGCTCAACATGCAAATACTACTGGTGTATTCCCTCTCAATAGTGCGAGCAAAGGGGATAGAAACATTGACCACTTTAATTGACCCAGAAAGGGAATATAAACATTAGTGAACATGTCATTTGAAATCAATATCGCAAGAACATATTCTTCTAGTGAGGTTGAAAGTAGTATCATTAATTTTATATCATTACAACTATTTTTATAGTCCATATCATCATCGCTGCTGTTATTAGGCCAATGAAGAACCAGTTAAAAACAGCATACATATGGAAAGCAAAACTCTGATTATACAGATTGAAAGCACTAAACAATGGTAGTTCTGTTATGCAGCAGTGCCAGTAATGACATTTCAAATTTTTATAGTTAATTATCCCAAGGTTAAAAAAAAATCAAAATAGACTCAAGGAAAAAAGGATATCTATAATAATCCCAATCAAGAGGGCCAACGGCAATTTTGCTAAATTCAACTGCACTTGATTCTATGCCAGCAAATATGTATCCATTGCTTTTGTCTATCAGCTTCACTAAATTCCCTACACTTTCTTTGTCCTGAAAAAGGAAATTCCAACTCAGGATTCTAAACATTTGACATGAATGGATGAAAAATCTGAGCAGATTCGGTGTACCTGAATATCTAAGGTCGAAAAACTCACAAGACTGAAGTTTTCAATAACTTCACATAGTTCCTTCGTAAGCTTTCTGCAAATGTAATATTGACAGTTCTTCTAAAATGCTACTCAGAATAAAAACAAAAGTTGGCCTTAAAGGATTAATTAGAGAACATAAGAACATTATCAAGCAACATCTTTAAGTGGGGGTGGGACGATAAAACTATTCAATGCCATATCCTAATAATTTATCAATCAGTTCTGCATAGGTTCCTAATGTGAACATTTATATTTTAAAAGTTGTACCCAAAATGACATCTCTTCCTAACAAAAAATGTCAGAAATAAGTAATATACTGGCAAAGCAATTTCCACCTGAACCATTTAAATCAGCCTTCAACACCATTTCCAACTTTCCACTTCAATTAGTAGGCTAGACTATTCAAAGTGTAGTAAGAATAATGAAGTATAAAACTAAATATCAACTAGCGAATTCAATCTACCCACATAGTTACAATTCACATCAGGACAAATTGAATCATATTAACAAATGACCCAATCAGCCAATTATTGCACCTTTTACATCATAAGCTGATACTACCACAGGAGCACCCCATAACAAAAGATCATAAAATCCAGCTTTATGTGAATGAAAGCAACAATTTAATATGGCATTAAAGAGCCATGGTAGACAAGACAAATAGCAAAATATAAAAAGGAATGTTACATCTAAGTTCTTTAGAATAAAAACAGTTAAAAAAGTGTCAACAAAAGTACAAAATATCAACGTACTAATAGAATCTATTAGAATCAAAAGCGTGGTTAGCAGGCAAAGAATCTGCACACAGTACACACCTGTACTTGGCAGAACGAGGATCCTGATCAAGATGGTATTGTAAATATGACAAGTCTTGCACGTCAGTATAGAAATCAAGGTTAAAGGCTGCAACAATCAAATTATAAAGTCAGCATGGAAATCTGTTGCCCATAACTAGCATAAAATAAAATACACTAAACCTGGCATATAAAAATAAGTAATTACTCCACCTAGCTTTCCATAGCTCTCAATTAAATCTATTTTTGACAAGACATTTATGTGGGGGAGTTCCAGATGTAGCATTGTGGATAAGGATAGAAGCAATGCACTAATATACTTCCCAGGGTCACTGCACAGGTGGGCATCAATCAAATGCACCGCAGTTAACTGCATAGAATGGACGTACATGAGTTCTAAAAATAATATATGGTTTGACATGCACAAGATATAAAGAACAGAGCTATACCCTTAGGTTCAACTTCTTTATGAGTTTCATGATGACATTCTTGGCATTTGAATGAAGAAAAAAGAGTTCCACTTGACCAGGAAAGTCAAAGAGTAGATAATGATCTGAAGTGTTAATAATATTGTCAGGTCCCTAGAATGTGTTAACAGAACACGAAGAATAGTAGTTTATATAGTCTACTTAAAATGTGGACATTACAGTTTGGTTGATTAGCTCATAAATCTAGAACATAATAATGCACTAACCTTTAAGAAGAGGTTCCAATTTTGCTTCCAACCAGTCAATATTTTTCTCTAGATAATCCATACAATACACAAGACCTGCTTTTACAAGACAGGAGAAACTTCAGAATATGCTCAAAGTAAGACACAAATTCCCTATAAAAAGATCCCTATTTATGGTCTGTTTTACAAGAACCATTGAGTTGCATACCGAGTAGCTATCAAAAGCAAAATCTATAAAAGAAGCAACCTGTACCTATTGTTAAAGTATTCCATCACAACATACTACTGGTTATGTCACATTGAAACTAAAGAAATTTCATGAAAAGAAAAAATAAAATAAAACTTCAAACAAAATAAAGGAATCAGGCTTACCCCCGTTTGGACCAAGAGAATGTTCCACCATTACATCACTTAGTTTCACGAGATCCTCAATGTTCACAGCACATTCATAGCTATATTTTTTTGTTAGGGGAAACCATATCAATTGAACTATACAACTTACAGGACACTTATGAGAATAATGATGCTTGAAAGAGGATACGGTAATGAATCATTAGCAGGATCCAAATTGATAACAGCAACCTTCCTGCATTCCAATGGCAAGATATATAAGGCAAATACAATACCCAAATTATTAAAAAACTAACATATAGCATACTCTATCTAATCTCCCCCTAAAGAATGAGGCTTACCTTCCAATAAGACTGAGGAACTGAGACATGCCATTGCAGTAAGTTGTTTTGCCAGAACCAGGTGGGCCAATTACTACTTGCCCAAACACCATTTTCCTTCCCTTCAATCTTGTGCTATTTCCTTACATAATAGTAAGTAAAATTAAAACTTGTGAAAGAACAACAGAATTTGAACAACCAAACAGCTTAGGCATTTTGTCAAACTATCTGTGTGCAACGGAATAAAGGCTATAAGATGAAACTAAAGAAATGAACCAAATAATTTAGAACTACTTGCATGAATATCAAAAAGGAAAAGAAAGAGAAAGAGCACAAAAATATTTTCTTTTTGGTGTTCTCAGGACGAAAGTTAATTATGGGAGCAGGAATTAAGTTAGAAACTTTGTTACAGTGGGTGTGAGTACAAAGTGGTAGGAAATTAAGAAGACAACAAAACCATTGACTAAAAAACAACATTTTAAATAACGACTTAGCATATTAACAAACTAAATTTCATAAATGGAGAAAGCTAAACCTTTATGCAATTATCTTCCCACACTACTCAGCCTCTGCAAGCTCCTTCCCCGTTTCTAGCAGAACCGCTATATTGTGCGCCCCCGTTTTTTTTTTTGGTCAAATGTGGCTCGGTTTATGGGCTGCCATTGTTTCTTGTGGACTTCCGTTTTGGGCCTCGTATGATTGGACCATAAAAAGGGTGCGGGTTTGGGATAAGAATCAAATAAAGAAAACAAAACAATGGGGCATTCCGAGAATCTAACTCGGGACCTCTCGCACCCAAAGCGAGAATCATACCACTAGACCAAATGCCCTATTGATTTATGTTACTTGAATTTAGTTAATAAATATCATGCATACTGTAAAGTTGTACAGTGGGACAGTAACAGATTATATCCCAGCTGTCATCATAATTGGAGTGCAGTGGAAGATTGCGATGACCATTGCACTCACCAAACCCATCATTGCAAGTACTTTTTGCTAAATTACACGCACTCACATCAATCCCTAAACTTCCATATAAATAATTAAATTACTCCTCTACCGCCCAAATCCACAGTAGTTAATTTAATGATAGTGCAACTAAGGAAAATCAAGGTTTCTATACAGTAAGTATTATTTATAGGTTGTGAGGAATGCTTCATTTGGCCCACCACAAAACTTATATTAAACTTAATTAATCCATCCCTTGTAACCCAAGAAAATATGTGCTATTATTTGAAAAGAGAGATTCGAGAATGAAGCAAGCCAGCTAGATGTTGAATAATCCAGTGCTATTTGAGGAGGCCATGTATATTTATTATTTAACAGTATTTTATACTAATGATGGACATAGTTGGAGACCTTACTTGGTGATTGTATAATTCAAATTCAAGGATCCAATAATACTAGACAGAAATGACTTTGCAAAAGATTTAAGGTCAAACGCCAGTGAATTATGGGGGGTAGGGTCATGGTGTCCACCTATCTTAAATTATATGTGAAATTATGATTCTCATCAACCAATCTAAATATAATAGTAATAAATACAAATATAATAATTTTGTTACACATAAATTAGTATTCTTTTATTTTTCACTATGCCACAAAATTGGAAGTTACTGTAGTGTACTCTGTACTTGGCTCAAAAGTTAAAGTTCATATTTTTCTGTTGGGTACGTGTTATTCTGCTTGTTTTTTTGTCTTCCAGTTTCTACGCATTTATCTTCCCAGTTGAAGACAGTAGGGAACATTAAAAATACCTAGGAGAAAGAAAACTGAAGTTAGGTGGTTAAAATTGGAGCAAAATGATTGTCAATAACAGTATATTTGTTGGGGTGTCTTCTTTTGTCTCCTGCCTCTCACATTTCACCACCCCTTTATCCTTATCTTCACTTCATAGTTCTGCTCTTCTGGAATCAGACAAAGAAGAGGGATCATAATCATATACCTTTCTTGCACCTTGGTAAGGTGAGAGGATAAGCAAATATGGCATTTGCAGGAACAACACAGAAGTGCATGGCTTGTGAGAAAACGGTTTATCTAGTTGATAAGTTGACTGCGGATAACCGAGTGTACCATAAAGCTTGCTTCAGATGCCACCACTGCAAAGGAACCCTCAAGGTCTCTCTTTTTCTTCTAAGCTCTTTGGATTTGTATATACACATAATATAATAGTTCTTCATGATAATATAGTGTTGACTCTAGTTCAGGTTTTCTTGTGCTTGGATCTGGTCTTTGCACTTGATCATCTGAACAAACGAGCAGCATCAATTTTAGCAATTGCTTTGATTGATTATTTGGCATTTTTAAAATTAAGCATTTTCATCCCAAGGCACTTTCTGTTAGAACTCTTACCTGTTCCTCATATTACTGGAATTTCCATACTTTTTGTCATTTCTGTTAATTTTCTTCCAAAAACTCACCAAGATTTTTTGTTGCCGAAATATAAGCCAGCTAGTGAAATTAAAAAGTGAAAGCACGTGTATCAAACCTCATATTTTCATGACACAATAATTCATTAAAATATATATTGGTAAATCTACCTATGATGCTCATTTATTTATTTTTTATATTTGGTGAGGTGGGTGGATCTAATTCTGCCTCCTCCCTTTTACTCTTTTTCCACTTCAATAGCTCATCGAAATTGATTTGACAATCTATAGTTTTGTTTGATGTGATTCCCTATATTAGATTTCATTTTTATAAGTTTACTGACAGAGTAATGTATTTGTAGCTTAGCAACTACAACTCTTTTGAGGGAGTTCTTTACTGCAAGCCACACTTTGATCAACTGTTCAAAAGAACTGGTAGCCTTGACAAAAGCTTCGAAGGTAACAAAGAATAAAAATCCAATTATTCAAAACCTCACTATATTTCCATCTCAGTCACTTACCTTTATTTCCCTTTGGCCGATTAGGGACACCAAAAATAGCTAAACCAGAAAAAGCCAGCGATAATGAGGTAATGAATCCTAAATCTACATGTTTGAATGCACAACAAAACAAGCAGCTTTCTAGATTCATCTAATTTTTTAGCTTTTTTAAATCAGAAACCGGCAGCAACCAAAGTCTCAAGTATGTTTGGTGGAACCAGAGATAAATGTGCTGGTTGTCAGAAAACAGTGTATCCCACTGAAAAGGTAATAGCACACACGAGTGCAAAGCATCCATCTCACATAATCATGCTCCTTACCTAATCTAAAACATTGATGCTAATTTTTTCATTCAGCTTGATAAAGGGATGGTGTTAAGTTTTATATATTCGATGAATAACGAAATAAGTATTTTGAACTGACGTAGGTTACTGTGAATGGAACACCTTATCACAAAAGTTGTTTCAAATGCACTCATGGAGGGTGTGTTATTAGTCCCTCTAATTACATTGCACATGATGGCAAACTATACTGCAAACACCACCACATCCAACTGATCAAGGAGAAGGGCAATTTAAGCCAGCTTGAAGGTGACCATGAGAAGAGTGCAATGCAAGAGAAAAACAACGGTGAAGTAGTTGAAGCTGAGATATGAATTGAAATGCTTGAGTTTTGACAAAAGAGTTCCTTCCTAAAGTTCCGTATTTCTATACCATGTGTTTATGATATCTCTCCTACTTTACCATAGGGAGTCCACAAAGCACTTTGCTTTTGGAAAATATGGTATTCCTTTTTTACTTTTTCGTGGTTGGGGTGTGTGGAAATCCATTGTTTGTTTTCTGTTGTTGTGAAGTTGTGGATATTAAAATGAGACATAAGGGCATTTAATTCTGAATATGTGATTCAGAAACCAGTGCTACTGAATTTCTTAATACTCTCATTGGATTCCTATTGCATCATAATACCCAATTTTAGTTTCCCAGCCACAAATCTTATCATCCAAATATACAATGAATGCATCTCAATTGGGCACATGTAAAGTACGGTTGATTTTATGATGAACTTGGTAAAACCGGGACCATGATAGACCCCAGGCTTATGTGACCACAAGGTGTAGTAAGGCCAACTTTTTTAGATTGTATTTTAGTCCCTCTTATTATTTTATAGAAAATGTTATTATTTTGTAGATATAAAAATAGAATCAATATTTTTTCAACAAAAACATATTATTAGTAGTTATGTAAACATAACAAAACCGTTGTTTTGTTTATAGGTGTAAACATTGTAAGAAAGTGTCATGTGCTAGTTGCTGTAAATAGTCCCTGAAAATTATTTGTGTTTTATGTGTGGCAAAGAGAAAGGAATAGTGTGAAAGTGTGAACATTGTATTATTACTGATTGTCTGCTATTAAACTCAGAAGCCAGAACGTTAGGCACACTGTGGGAAAACAATTAATGCTTGTTTTGCTCTTCACATGGATGGCCTTAGAAGTTATTTATTTTAGGGTATATTGCTTTCTGATTTGAACCCGGAATTGAAGTTGTATTTCACATTAATATTGTTGGAATTCTTCATTATGGATTTAATTAACAAAAGTCTAACCACTCATTGATTTTATTTTCTTTTTGCGGAAAAGTTTTCTTTAAACACTGGGTGTGTTTGACGAAATTAATGACTATGTTAATTAAAATTTGAAAATTTAACAAAAAAATTGATTTTTTTAAATGAAACGAGATAATATATGCATGTTTAATTAATAGTAATATAATAACAAATTGACGAGGAGCATGCCGTGGAAGACTTCTAGAAAGTAAAATCTAGAGCATCACTTTCGTAATTTAAGTTTTAGAAGTCATAAAAATATTTTAAAAAATTAAATTTTTAAATTTTTTTAATATTCTGAAATTTAAATTCCAAAAATATAATTAAAGAAAACTTCAAAAAAATAATTTTTAAAAACACGTTTAAAAAGTTTCTAAAAATTAATTTTTAGAAACGTATTAAAAAAGATAAAAGCAGGTTGTGATTTGATACTTTGTATGTAATTAATAGGACAATCAATGAGAACTTTTTTTTTAAATACTAACAAATTTTTATATTTTTATTAAATAAAATTTATGTGGATATTATTAAATTAAATATGATATTTTTATATCTTTTAAGTTTTATTAAAAAAAGAAAATAAAAAAAATAAAGGACAACTGAAAAGAAAGGTAACTTTAAAAAATTTACGTACAAAACTCTTCAGTTTAAAAATTTTTGAAATATAGAATTAAGAAAATTTTGAAGGATTTATGAACTTAAAAATACTAAAATAAAATAAGAATAATTATCATAATTTTTTTAAAATAACTTTAAATAAAGATTTAAGTATGTATTATCTTAGTGTATAAAATAAAGTAAAAAGTATAATGAGTAATGTAATAAAAAAATGAAAAAGATAAAGATAAGTGAGAATGAAATGTTAGAAAAAAAAAGTATAAAAGGTATTATTATTATTAAATTGATAGATAGTAAATGAGATTTATTAAAAATAAAAACGGAAAATATTGCACTTTATTTGTGTGTTCATGCATTAAGATTTAATATTTATGCAACATTTTGAATCACATAACTTCTAAATCACAAAAATTAGAGAATAACAATGCCAAATTAAATACAAATCTATTTTTGGCCATTCTTCATCGGATCAATGCCAACAGCATATTTCATCACAAGCCTCTAGGCAGCAGCAGCAGCCCAACGCGGCAAGGCTACAACACAGTAAGAAACTTCAGTTTTGTCACCATGCCAATTACACTATGAAGTTTTTTAAATTTAAATTAGTTATAAAGATTTAATTTATTTTTTATTTTGAAATTTAATTAAGTTTTCATTAAAATAAAAAAGATATTTTGGGAGAAATTTTATGTTTTGGTCACTAATTTAGGCGAAAAAGTAATTTAATTTGTGAATATTTTTTTAAAATGTATGAACGAGACTTTTAAATAGAAAAAAATTATAATTAATTATAAAAATAGATATACTTCATTGATTCGAAAAATTATACAAATTAAAATTAAAAGAATTAAAAATATGATAAAGCCTTTTAAATAAAACCAATATGGATAAATAAAGTACAATGACATACAATTTACTTTTTCATATAAAGTCATATTGAAGAATAAAAAGAAACATATTGGCTATTATATTTGATAGCATAACAGATCCTGAAAAGGGTACGCACCATCCAGCAAATAGACCCGTGGTGGCCCCTGAGCCTTGTTCTTGTGCATACATAGGTGGAGCTTGATTCACAACAACTTGAGGCTGGGGTGGAGGAGCCCCTTGATAACCCGGTTGAGGATATCCTTTATAAAACCCAACAATAAGATAAGCAACCAAATTAATTTGCTAACTATTCAAAATATCAACATTCATACTCTACCACAGACATTTCACAATAAAATCAGAATATCCAATACATGTGTAAATTAATAACAATTGACAACGTTTTGATGTTTATTTTTTGAGAACCTAGAGGAGGGAGAGGGGGAGGAGGAGGAGGAGCAACACCCATAGGAGGATTTTGATTGTAGTATTCCATCTCCCTTCACCCTTTGGATTTCTGGTTTCACGATTCTCAATCAATTTCAGAGTGAAAGTGAACTGAGAATAAAAAGTGCAATGACCAACTATATAGTTGGTGATGGGTGCATGTTGATATAAACGAAGCAAATTTCATTTTGAAGAAAACACGCTTACATTTAATTACTTACCTTGAAATATGAATAGGCCTTTCATCACAGCCGTTGGTGTTTGTTCGATCATAAACAACAGCGGACCATGCCCAACCGCGGCTTAATCTTGAAATATATTAAATGAGCGTATCCGCACCCGTTGACCCAAAAAAAAACATCAGCAAAGAATCTCTAATCCGTGCTTCTATATTATTATCACTGTGTTTGAAAATATAAATTAAATGTATACATTATAATTAATAGTATTAAAGTAAATAAAAATATTTAATTAAATGTTTTGCCTTTGTAAAAATTGTTAAAGTTGAACTTATTTTTTTATTTATTAAAACATACTTCATATTTTTTCATGAACCAGTAATTTTAATCTAATATAATCTAACTAGAAGTTGATACTTGATAATGTTCACATAGACTATATAAATTAAAGAGAATAAAAATAATAATTAATAAAAAACCAATATCTTAAAAAATTATAAAAAAAATTAAATTATGAAAATTTTATAACGAATGAATACTTAATTAAGTGAATATAAATTTGTGATAATTTAAATTAGAATATGGAATTGGTGAGTTCATTATCCAAAGATAAAAAAAAATGCAATAATTTGCTACCGCGTATTTGTGGTTTACTTAATTGGACAAATTAATACATTTTATTTATTTTTAACATAGACTGGAAAAGCTTTATAGTTTTTTTTATAGTAGATACTCAAATGAGTCTTTGAAAAATTATTGAACTGAATTTTGTTTTTAAGATAAAAGTTAGTAAACAGTAAAAGTTATCTTTACAAGACCAATGAATATGTGAATCAATCAATATGGAATAGTTTTAGAAGTTTTAAATCCGACTATTTTATTTTATTGATTTTTAATTATTTTAAAAGTTATCTTCTTAATTATTTTATTGATTTTTGTCCAATCAGAATATTTCAAGTTAAATTAATTGACATAAAAAATTTAAGAAATATAAGGTAGATATTTATTTTAATATTTTGAATATATAAATTAAATTAATACAAAAAATTGAAGATAAATTGATTTCCTTAATTATAAAAAGTGATATTAATTTCAATATTTATAAAAGTTAATAATAATTCAATTGACACTTTCGCTAACCGGATTTTTAACGACGGATAGACTAACTTTACTGTTTGAACAAGTTTAAGGGACTTTTTTTAATTATTTGTATTTTTAGAGATCTAACTGAGATGAATTTTTTTAATGACAAATTTAGATTTTAATTTACTCATTATTTTGGGGGTATCGTTTATTTAAAGATAATAATTTTCATTTTCTTTCAAAACATTTATTTAATTACCATAGCAATTCTAGTTAAAAACACAATTAACTTAAATATTCGTCGACATTAAAAAAATTGAGAACAACTGATTATAAGGTCGCAAAATTTGTATCTTTATTTTCGGGGAAAACAAACTTGAAATGATAAGAACGGCAAATACAGGGAGGACAATTTTACCCTTGCCCACTTCTTTCATGGACGAAGTATGAAGTGGCGAATATAAAAATGAGATGCATTGCATAGCGGTAGATTTGAATTAGATCTTTGTTATGATATCTTTTTTTTTTTTTTTTTGTATATTTTATAGTGTAAGTATTAACACACACACATATACATATATATATATATATATATATTAAAAGATATAAATATATATTTATAATTTTACTAATTTAATAATTAGAAGAATTTATAAAGTTAAAATATAGAACATTTTAAAGGTATTGTTTAAACTATTATGGGTTTTAGATTTAGTATGAATGCTCTATCCATTTGACAAAAATGTTACTGTATAAACAAAACAACGTATTAGAGCGATGCATCGTATACGTACATAAGTTGTGTGTCCGTTTATTATTAGTACAATTAATTTATCATTATATTTACATAATCAATTATACATGTGTGTGTGTGTAAATAGCATCTTACATGTACTTCAATTGTTTGAGCATATATAAACTGCGTTGTTTACATATCTGATGTTTTCTTTTGAAATTCAAATGCTAATAATTTTACAAATTGATGGAGAGAAATATTACTAAACAGCAGCTACTCCACGCATTATATGAGTTTTTGGAATGTAGATTAAAGTTAAAAAATATAAACTTAAACAAGGTTTTAAACTAGTAAATATGTATGCATAATTACTACATATATAATTCAATAATGTAAATTTAGATATGATAATTTATTTTAAACTTATAAAAATATATAATTAATTCAAAAGTTAAATTAAAATAAAAAACATATATTAAAATGACTAAATCACTCGAGATCATGAAATTATTAAACAAATATTATTAATGCAAATTTTATCGTAATTTTTTATAACATTTTTCTTTTATCAAATTTTTAAACTAATATCCTAAAATAAAGATGAAAATAAGATAGATGACTCATCGGAAACTTATGGATTAATCTACGTCAAACTAAACCTATTTAATAAAAAGTGCTCATCAAACTAAAAAGATAAATTAGTCAAAGTCTAAATAATTTATTTGAAACATTACCTGATTAGTGATTGCAACGTTGAAAAAGAAAACACACGCGATATTTAACATCGAAATAATAAAAGGCTTAGGAAAAAACATCAGTTAGTATCGTCAGTGTGTCACTCACAAATAATCACAATGAGATACCAAATCTTTCAATTAAGCACTTTATTTCCCTTAATAAATCCTTCTGTCCAATCTCAGTTAATTATTAATCACTTTTCTGTTTTATTAACCTATTCAACAATATTTTTAAAAAATACATTAAAAAAATACAAGAGATTTTTAAAATAGAATAATTAAAATATAATTATCCTCACAAGAAAATTGTCATTATTACTCAAGCATCAAAGTTATTGTTTCCAAATCAATTCATGAACGATTGAAAAAATGAATATCGCTTTCGGGATGAATGATATTTGTTTGCGGTTGTAGATATAATCATGTTTTAAGAATATATTTTAATGTTTTAAAATTTAATATTTTTTCAGTATTACAAAACAAATTAAAGAAATTTACGTTAAAAAATTAATTAAGATTAAAGAAAAGGATTAGTTGGCAGAATTAGTATATTTTAAGGGTTAAATTAAAAAAAAATTAAACTTGAAATACTATTTATAAGTGAGTGAAAGTTTTTAAAAATGGGATATTCTTGAAGATTTACATATAATTATCTACTTAATTCTCCTATTCAAATTTGATTTAGTAATTAATATGGTAAGAGGTGTTTGAATCTCTATGCAAACATTTGGTAAAATATTACATAATATTTTTTAATAAGTACCCTAAAAATACTAACTAGAATTTTCTGATATTACAATTATAAATACACCAAAACCTTTTAATTAAATCATTTTTTTAAACAATCAGAAATATTGTGTTTATTTTTCCTCACCAATATTAATTTATAGGACACTTTTTCACAACACTCGGAACAAATTTCTTTTTTCTTCGAAGTTTTCAAACAAAAATATAAAGGCGAGTAAGGTGCTTGACCATTTCAAGGTATTAATTGTTTAAAATTTCAATTTTCATAACCGAAAATATCAAAATAATTTGAATTATTTGGTCATTATGGCATTGTAACTATCATTTACAAAATTTAATTGATGAATCAAGTTTCTTTTATACAGAAAAATCTTGATTTTCACACTTGATTAACGTTTGATTGCTCTTGGTTGCCTTCCTTCTTTAGCTGCAAGAAATGGCCAATGAAGGCGGTGACGGCAACAATGGTAGTAGTAGTAGTGGTGTCAACAAAAAGTCACAGTCTCAAGAGGTTCAAATTCAACCACACCCAGTGAAAGAGCAATTACCTGGAGTTCAATATTGCATTAACAGTCCTCCGCCTTGGCGTCCGTACATTCTATCATTTGCTTATTCTTTTTATGGCTAACACACTCGTACTTTTTTGTTATGTTGGAAATCGGATTAATAACATGTTTGAATTCATGTTTATTTTAATGTTATTAATTGAAACATGTTTAAAAAATTTTCACGTGATTCCAGACACTCACTTAAATATATTCAGCAAAACTCATGCATAGTATGTTGACTTGTTTCTCTGCCATGCACGAGCCCAACAAAGATGTGGAATGACTAAGCATTTAAAAAGTGTTTGTTCAGAGAATGTTACTTAGAGCTGCTGAATAACGGCTGAAACACAGAGACATATTTTTCATGAATCAAAACATTCATCAAATTTATGTTGCTTGTTTAAACTTTTTTAGCTGTGGGTATATTTTCTCCATGCAGCTGAAGCGGTGGTATTGGGATTCCAGCATTACATTCTAACTCTTGGCATGACTGTTCTGATTCCAACTATGATTGTTCCTCAGATGGGTGGGGGCGATGTAAGCACTTTTTTTCGTTTCGTATTCTCCTTTTCTTTTTCAAATTTTACTGTGGTTTGAATCAACTGATATCTTTAATAACTTAGGCTGAGAAGGCCATGGTGATACAGAATCTGCTGTTTGTTTCTGGACTAAGCACATTTCTGCAATCTTTGTTCGGAACCCGACTTCCAACTGTAGTTGTTGGTTCGTACACCTACGTGATACCCACTATTTCAATTGTCCGAGCCAGCAGATACAAGTCATACACAGATCCTTATGAGGTCACTGAAGGGGACTATTTTTTATGCTTCTATTTTATTTTTCTGTTTTTTTATTTTGGTTCTGCACTTGTACTTGGGGAAGTTCATTCTTTGTTATTATGTTGCTGATAATAGAGGTTCACTCACACAATTAGAGGGATACAAGGCGCCTTGATCGTAAGTGCATGTTTCCAAATGGTTATGGGATTCTTGGGCATTTGGAGGAATGCCGTAAGGTTAGTAAGAGCACGGCATGCAGCTTTATTTATATCCTTTAATCACTTTTCGTTTATATATATCCAGCTTGCTAATAGCTTCTTCTTGTGCTGCTATAGGTTCCTTAGCCCACTTTCTGTAGTATCTTATGTAACTTTCTCTGGACTTGGTCTCTATCATCTTGGTTTCCCATTGGTAAAAATATCTATTTTATTTTTACTAATGCAACTTTTCAGTGAAATAGGTCGCGCGCTTGAATTGCAGTCCTCAAATTTTACGCAATTTAGTTTTCTACAAGTTTAGGACTTAATAACAGGATTTATATGACTTCTTTCCCTCTATTATGGACAATTACTGTTGCAGCTGGCAAACTGTGTTGAAATTGGGCTTCCAGCACTGATTGTTATGGTTTTCATCTCACAGGCAAGTAGTTAAACTCACTTAGAACAAAGTATGTTAACGGACAACCATTATTTATTCAGTGATAATAATAGAAATTATGAAAGACGGAGTTATAATCTGTAAAATGTTGTTTTTTATGGTCCTGCAGTATCTCAATCGTTTGATAAGCACCAAGAAGCCTATATATGAACGATTTGCCGTGTTGTTTTCCATTGCAAGTGTATGGTTATTTGCACAGCTCCTGACATCAAGCACTGTATATAATAAGAAGCCAGAAAGTACACAAACTAGTTGCCGCACTGATCGTTCTGGACTTTTTAGTGCTACTCCGTGGTAAGACTGTGAAATTATGTTTTCTCAATTAATAATCAATAACTTACATGCCCTTCAAAATCAAGGTTTGTACATGGATTTAATGGTTTACATAGGAATTGAGGAACGGATCAGAGTAAAAAAGCTATCTCACTTTGTGAATTTTTATATAAGTTTATTTTATATATGCTTTTAAACTGATTAATAAAAATGTGTGCAATTTATACAGGGTATATTTTCCTTACCCCTTCCAATGGGGGAGTCCTACCTTCAACTATGGAGAATCTTTTGCTATGATGACTGCTTCTTTTGTTTCTCTTTTTGAGGTAGGCACTAGGTCTCTTAATAGGAACCCATGTCCAATCATTATGCTGTTTTGTAATGCAACAGCACCAGCCTTGCTGTCATCATAAAAAAACTATGTAAAGCTGAAAAAGCACTTACAGTTAAAAATATATTCAGTCTCCATCTTATGTTTTGCTTGAAGTTCAACAACTTTTATGTTCACATGCAGTCTACTGGTACGTTTTACGCTGCGGCAAGATATGGAAGTGCAACACCCGTGCCACCTTCTGTTATCAGCCGCGGAACTGGTTGGTTGGTAAGATGCACTATTTTTTGTTATTCTTTATGGATCATAGACAAGAAACATATACAGATGATTTTTGTTCATGTCATTCTTATTGTTATTTCAGGGAGTAGCCTCTTTTCTCAATGGCATGTTTGGTTCTGTAACTGGATGTGCGGCATCTGTGTAAGGTTTTTAGCTCAACTCTTTTTCTCCCCCTTGCATGTGTTGTAGATGATCCATGACCAATCAACCCGCACTCACTACTTCAAGTTCAACCAATATAAGGGCATGCTTGTTTTTTAAAATTTATAAAGAAAAAAAAAAACATTTGGTTGTTTTAATCATTTCCTGTGCAGATCTTTAGGATAAAAAACAAAATGAAAATAAGATGAAGTACAATTATTAGTGAAAAAAAAAATACAAACTAAAGAATTTTCTCTGCCTACCTAGTTCCTGTTATTAGTAGCCGAGTTATGCATTGGTCTTATTTCAGGGAAAATGCTGGATTATTGGCATTGACAAGAGTGGGAAGCCGAAGAGTCATCCAAATATCAGCTGCCTTTATGATTTTCTTCTCTGTATTTGGTATGATAGATTCATAAGCTCTACACAGGGAATGATTCTCTCTGGTTGAAATTTTAGCAAGTTTTGTATCTATCAATCAAATAAGTAGAACTCTAAAAATTACTAAGGAGAGCGATAAATTCAAAATTTATATATGACCTATTATGTCACGTGAGAAGATCCTTTCCTATGTAATGTTATTGTTCTCTTCTCTTTATATAGTGATATCTCATGTCGCACACAAACCTTTATTCAGGAAAATTTGGAGCAATTTTTGCTTCTATACCTTTGCCAATCATTGCAGGATTATACTGCGTTTTCTTCGGCTATGTCTGTAAGTTTCCTCTAACTAACTATCTCTGCGGTTTGGTTTTTTGCTCATGTATAGAACTTAACAAGAGTTTGCAACTTTGGATGTGTAGCTTCTGCGGGTCTTGGTTTTCTCCAGTTCTGTAACCTTAACAGTTTCAGAACCAAATTCGTGTTGGGCTTCTCATTCTTCCTCGGCATTTCTATACCACAATATTTCAAAGAATATTATCATGTGAAGCATGATCACGGATGGGTGAGATTAATATATCTGAAACATAAACCAATAATAGTAGACTAGTAGTACCATAACGCTATCTTTGTGAGTGATTGGCGTTGCAATGGATTTGCAGTTCAATGATATGGTTACCGTTATCTTCACGTCTCATACAACGGTGGCTGCGTTGGTTGCTTTCATTTTGGACTTTACACTCTCACGTGAAGATAAAGCAGCACGAAACGACAATGGTTTGCAGTGGTGGGAGAAGTTCAGTATATATAAAGCTGATGTTCGGAACAATGAATTCTATGCTTTACCATGCAGACTCGATGAGCTTTTCCCCTCTCTTTAAGCAGTTCTTTGTCTTCACCCTTTTAAGCCAATTCATGACTTTCGTAAAAATAAAAAAAAAGTTTAGTTTCCCATAACATTGTTGTACGTTTTCTTGATTGGAGCTGACATTGGACAACAGAATATTTCTTCTCATTATATCATTGATATTATTACATTATTATACTTTTGAAGCGAAGTAATTTACTTAATTAGTTTTAATTAAAGAAAAAAAAAAGGAGATGGAATGAAACTGGCCACAAGGATAGAAATCCAAGAGAGAGAGAAAGGATTGACCTTTTCTGCCAGAGAGAGAATATGGGATCACCCTAGTCATGAATGGCAAATAGCGCTTAATTTTAAGGTTTTGAGTTGGCTTTCTTTGAGGTCAACTTGGCGAAACTAAGAAATAGGTATTAGGTGTCAAGTTGAGCTATCTGCAATGTCTTTCTTAATAGCCCCTGGTTTGGAGCAATGTCCTATGCCGGGGCCCCACCATCTTCCGGTATCACCTTGTCATCTCCTCGAGAGAATTTTCACACCAACATTGTCTCTTTCTTATTCCCAGGATAAAGTTTTTTCCTCGGGTATCTTTTAGTGCCACTAAAACTTCAGGCAAGTCCAAATATTGTACAATTTATGGTTCTCTTGGGTTGATGTTTCTTCTGATTTACATTAGATGCACTGCGTACGTTGTAATTCTGATATTTTATTTACACGTGAATCATTCTTCAGATGAACTTTGATCAATAATTCAATATATGGGGTGCAAGGACGCCCATTGTTTTCTTGATGATAATGAATTATAAATCAACGATCTCACAACAAGAGATAGGAAGAGAAGAGAGAAAAGTGAGAAATAAGATATAGATAGAGAGAGATATAGAGAATAAATGTTATGAGAATATGAAGTAGAAATAGTATTATTCTTATGAATTTGATGTTTAATCATTTTTGGGATAGAAGCGTAGGCTTCTATTTTCCAGTTGACCAACTGAGTTATTGGGTCCAACGCTGCTGCTATTTTAGCTTAAGCCTTTCTAGCTTCAATTCAGTCAACATCTTCTACCTTGTTCTCACTATTTCATTGTTAAGTTGGTTGAATGTTTCTGTAGAGTTTTTTTTTTTTTTTCCTTTTTACAAAAAATCTAGTAATGTGTTTTGGTTCAGTTTGGGTCAGGAATGAAATGTTGTTAAGAGCTATTGCTATCACGGGTGTTTGATCATTGGCCATGGCCTTCTTTCTTTTGACATAACATTACTTTCTAAATCTGGTCTGGTTTCTTGAAGTTGACGTTGTGAAAATGTTCCTTTGTACTCGCATTGCAGAGATGATACGTGGCGCATATGAAGGGTTGATTGCTACACCTGAAAAGATTAATGATTTCCTAGATGGTGAAGATGATAGAGTATGTTCAAAGTTTCGGAAGGGAGTGAAAATATGGAAAAAATTAAAATATCAGCTTGTAGAATACAATTCACTGCCAGCCTACTTAAGGGACAATGAGTTCATATTGGACTATTATCGAGCAGAGTGGCCATTGAAGCAGATTTTCCTTAGCATTTTCTCAATTCATAATGAGACACTTAATGTTTGGACGTAAGTACTTTGACTTCAAGTACAAATGTATTTCATTATCTGATTAACTTGGTGCCTTTTTTATGTCATTTTTTTTATTTTGTTGCTTAAAGCTAATGACATTGTTTCAGGCATTTGATTGGATTCTTCCTTTTCCTCTTTCTCACCATATACACAGCTGTGAGAGCTCCAGTGGTTGTGGATTTCGATTCCATTCAACATTTGTCTGAAATAATAGGGAAAGCTGATTTGAATAAGATTCATTTAGAGCTCTTGAAATGCCTGCCTTCACTGCCCAACATGCCTGATCTTGTCAAATTTAAAAACGAGTTGAGTGCATCTCTTTATTCTTTTGACTACTCCTCATTCTCAGGTTGGACTTTTGTGCAACTTCTCACCAATTGCCTTCCTGAGCAATTTTCCCTAGTAAGTTCCTGTTCCTCTCACCAATTGCTTGAACTAAGATGTATTTTAAAGCATTGCAATTCTTTCAAGTAATTTATAGAAACGATAACAAAGTAACCACAATGAAGTGAACCATGTTTTTTTTTTTAAACAAAACATGCATATGAGAAATAAGAACCTGAATCAAATACATTGTATTTAAGTAAGTTCTAAGGTAAACACGTGCTACTATATTTATTCACCATCAATATTCATTGAGAAAATGGGAGAATTAAACTTCTCACTGGTGTTACATTGTTACAGAATGGTCTGAAAGATGACACGGTGAATGTGGTAGTATCCCCCTTCATGGTACAACCGATTACAAGGTGGCCTTTTTATGCCTTCTTAGGTGGGGCCATGTTCTGCTTGCTAGCCAGCAGTGCATGTCACCTCCTTGCTTGCCACTCACAGCGCCTCTCCTACATCATGCTCAGAATTGACTATGCTGGGATTGCTGCATTGATAGCAACATCGTTTTACCCTCCAGTGTATTACTCATTTATGTGCAACCCTTTTTTTTGCTTCCTCTACTTGGGCTTCATAACATTAATGGGAATAGCTACAATTATCTTTTCTCTTCTCCCATTTTTCCAAAAGTCTGAGTTCAGGAAGTACCGTGCATCCCTCTTCTTTTTGATGGGATTTTCGGGTGTGGCACCCATAATACATAAGCTGATATTGCACAAGCATCAACCTGAGGCATTGCAAACTACTGGTTATGAGATTCTAATGGGAGTTCTTTACGGTTTGGGAGCTCTAATTTATGTGACAAGGATACCAGAGAGGTGGATGCCTGGCAAGTTTGACATTGCTGGCCACAGTCACCAACTTTTTCATATCTTGGTTGTGGCTGGGGCTTACACACACTATCATGATGGGTTAATCTACTTAAGATGGAGAGATTTTCAAGGTTGTTAGGTTCATAGTGAGTCTTCCGTAGGTTCTTGTCTTTCTTTCTGTTTGCTACCAATGTTGTTAACCTAGATATCAAATGGATGAAAAATGAATCATGTCAAGCAAATTATAGCACTATCTATTTAGCCCATCATTGTTCTTTTCTGCGTTGGATGTATGAACATAGAAGCAAATGATAGAACGGTTATGCCATGGTAGCCCAATTTTGTGAAATTCCACAGATACCCCACTCATGTATTTAGTTGATGGGCCTCACGGAATAAACCCTCCCACAACTTCTTTAGTTGATGTTTCTGATCCTTTCATGTTGTATGTGTTTGGTACAGTCTCTTCTCAGTTCTCATTAATTTTTAGACCCCATCCTAAATCATGCTAGGCCCGAATGTCTAATCAATTTTAAAAAAAGCTTCACTTGACGCATTTCGTTGGATCGCGCTATGGGCATGAACTAGAAAGTTTCTGGTACAAGTACTATAGTCATTGTAGACCGAATTTCTCAGTTTCGTTTCACCATTCATGCATTTCCACAATATTTGTAGTTCTTAAATTGGTTTAACAATAAATGAGGTTGGGAATTACGTATAGGGGAAATTAGACCCTTTATATATTAATAAATTAATATGAAATTATAAAAAGATTAAGTAAAGCAAAACTTTAAAGGAACATATTTTATAAGATCAAAAACATATTATTTATTAGTAGTGAAAAATAATGAGACCTACATGAATTTTATAGTTTTTATAAATTTTAATTAATAGTTAGGAATGTGTTAAAAAGAGTATTTTGTTAGCATTTTTTAATACTTAAATACTAGAAATCTGTGTATACATCTCATATATGACTTTTTATTTATTTAAGAATTATTTAAAAAAATTATCTTTTTTTTCAAAAAAAATAGTTTAGACTTAGTTTATGAGACCAATTCATACCCATTTTTCACTGAGCAATAAGCATAAAGAAAGTAACACAGGAGACAAAATTGATTGGAGAAATATTTTTTATACATTAATTTATTATAACAGTTTATACAAATGACACAAATTCATTAAAAAAAATCAGTTGTACATTAATTTAGCACAACCCTTTGTACAAAAAGAAAAGATAACAAAATTTCAAAAAAAAAAAAATGAAGCGAAATGGAACAGAGAGAAATAAAAACAAAATAACCTTATACAAAAATTGTCCAAGTACTATAACTCAATTTATTTAGTCAAATGCTAACAAGTATCTTAAAATGTTAATAAAAAATCAAAATAAAATTTTCACTAATTTATTGTGCATCCTAATACATAAATTTATTTTATTTATTGATTCTTTAATTAATGTTTTTAAAATGCTTGATGAGTAAGAAGATTTATTTTTATCCAAAAGATTTGTCAACAGTCAACGCGGGTGCTATATCATTATCTATACACTGTAGTAGATTTTCATCTTGCAAACCAATGCACCAAGAAGTTAGCATAAGTAGCAAACACGTTATTCATAAAAAGAAAAAGCAAAGAAAAGAAAGGAAGCAAGGACAATGATAGAAAAGGAGTTGTATGTCGCCTTGTACTTGCAGTGCAGAAATGTGGAGTAAGAGTAGCAGGCAATGGCATATAACAGGTGTTTTGCAACGATGGAGAAGGGTCGTAAGCATATCAAAACTGCGAGATAGGATGATCACATCACATGTGCGATGCTGACCAATGAATGTGTGGATATAATTACACAAAAACAAATAGCTTCTGTGTGTATGAATGTATCAAAATCTAAATAATCACGCGGGTATATATCATCCGGAAAACATGGTCAGCTGTAATGGGATCGCCGCTTTCCATTCAGTCACGAACACGCCCCTATGGCCTCTTCTCTATTTCTCTCTCTTCTTTTCATTTGTTTTGGGAACTTGGAACGTGTTTTTTATTTTTTTAAAATTATAGATCTCACCAACTTTTTTTTTTTTTGTATATTAATGTAGATGATTGTAGAAGATAAAAAATAAATAAATATTTTATAACTTTTTATGTTTGATTTGATATTTTGGAGAGGAAGAGAGGAGATTAAAATTTCGTGTCGAAGAATGTTAGTCCTTAAAAAATAAGACAACTTGGAGCAGCGAAAAATTTGTATATTAACTAGTTATTTTATATTTGGATTAAAAAAATTAAATCAAAATATATTAAATCATTTTTTAAATTAAGTAATTTTACTATTAAAAATGTTAAATATTTTAATCAATAATAATAAATATTTTACTATATTAAAGCAAAATATATTAAAGAGATATATTTTTTAGAATTTAAAAATTATTATTAAATCTAAAATAAATGCTCAATTAAAAATATGCAGTATAATAATAAAAAAAAAAGTTCCAAATTCTTATTTGAGATAACTCCTTAAAAATATAGAATTATTTTTAAATAAACACTTATAAAAGAATAAAATTAATAGAACTTTTTTATAAGTTAAAAACAATTATATTTTTCAAATTTTATAAACATTTAATAAGATATTTTTTTAGAAAAAGTATAAAATTTTCATTTTATAAGAATAATTTAAATATATTTATTATTTAATTTTTTAATTAAATATCTTTTTTAATTTAGTATCTTTAATTTATTTGACCATTTAACGATAATAATAATTTTTTCTTTTTCAAATTTTGTAAATTAAACAAAATATCATTATTCTCCATTGAAAATCCTCTCCTCTCCTCTTTTTCCTATTCTCTTTTTTATTTATTATTTATTTTCTTTTGAACCTTCTCTTATTGTTTCTTTTATTTATTTATTTTTGAACCATGTTAATATATCTTTTCAACAACAGAAACTATTCATTTCAAAACATAAAAAGCATCAAAATAATTTTTGTCCCACTCAACAATTTTTTTTATGTACTCATTTAAGAATCAAATGTTTGAAAACATATTTAAAATACAAAATTTGTTAGTAAAAATCTAACTTTCTCAAAAAGATAATTCAAAATGTCATTTGTATTTTATTTATATCAAAGATGAATAGTTAATAATTAAATATTATTACTTTCATAAAAAAAATCAAAATGAATAAGATATTTTTTAATAGTTTTTTTGTATGTATAATCAAAGTTTAGTTATCATCCGACGTCATATTAATGACTCTAACATAATAGGATTATCTTCATAACACTACAAATGATCTTAGCATAGGCTTAAAACACATCTCAGCCTATGTTAAAGATTTATCTTTGGTCTAACTATGAAAAAAATCTAAAGAGTTTTAAAGTTCTCTTTGATCTAAGCTCGACATTCACAAAATTAAGTCGTTAACTAATAATAGTAATAGAATAAATAAGCTCTCTCAATATTTGTCCTATGAGTTAGTATTACTTGAACATCTAACTCTAAGTATTGAGAGGTCTTACCACTTAAAAATTTTAGAAAAGTCAATTATATATAACCACCTAAATGAATTTTGTGGCCATATAAAGAAGAGAAACTCGTGACTATAGGTATGCTTTCTCCTCCCTAGCATCACCATTATTCTGACTATATTTTCTTTCACTGTAACATTAGAGTAATTTTTTTCAAGAACATCTCTTATTCATTAAAGCTTTGCCAAAAGATCACCATGAGGAACCACTCATCTGTGTTCAGGCCACCTTAACTGTCAAAAGTTAATATACTTAAAAACAATTTATAATTTATCAATGTTTTCAACCTTTATTGGCTCCTTTTATAATTAAAAATGATTTTACAAACTTTTTAGTAATATGAATCTCTTTAATTGTTGACATAATTTATAATATAAGATAAAAATTAAACGTAACCAAAAGAAAGTAGGTTGAGATTCGTGGGGGTCAAAAAAATAAAGTGACAGAGGACAGAATTATAAAACTTTGAACACTTATATCACGTGCTTCATTAGGGTTATAGGGTAGTTGGCAATTTGTCATTTTTGGCTTCATTTTTGTGTCAGGAGACAAAGAATCAGTGAGTTAAATTTTCCTCTCAGTCGATTTTAATCATCTTACATTAATACACCAACATGTATATATATATATATTCCTTTTTATGAATAAAATAAAGGATCACTTTCTCCCATTTGAATCGCTTTTTTTTCGTAAATTTTTTGAAGAAAACAGTATATAGATGTTTCTTCGTAGCATTTCAGCTGGTAGATGCATGCCATTGCAAATGTTCGTAAAGTAAACTAGGGCTCATGGCTCATGAACAACACTAGATTTCCATGTCTCAGTTTCATTCTTCCACTTCAGCCCACTTAATAATTGAGTTCATCACATATAATTTTCTTTATTTAGCTATTGAATTTAAATTCGTAATTAATATATTCATCAACATCACCTTTCTTATTGCAATTGCTTTTTGGTAGAGATTGAAGACGGAAATTTGACACGATATATGAAACTATATATTTTTCGTCTCGTGTGTGAAAGGTAAAACAAAAGTTGATGGTAGAAAGGGAAGGGAATCTCTTGAAAGACTTTGAGTATAAGCAATATATCGGTGCTTTGGCACCGTCGTAATCGGCAATTTTGACCTAATTGCAATAAAGAAGTGAACATGATGGCAAAGCTCGTGCAGTTGGAAAAGCCATGCTAGCTGTTATACAGAGACGCTCTACATAGTTAATTTGCATATATAACTTGCATAATAGACAAAGATATATAGAATAGGATAAAATATCTTTTTAACATATGTATAAATAAAGCTAAATTTAATTTAATTTTTTATAAATTATTAATTATTTTGGATCTTCTTGAAATTTATTTTACTTTTAAGAAAAATTCTTATCAATACTTACATATATTTAGATATGTTATGTTATATATCACATCATGACAGCCATTGACGTGACATAATTAAAATGAAGTGATAACAACAATTATTTTTTAAAAATTTTAAATTTATATAGACTGAAACTAATACAACTTTTTTAGGATAAAAATTAAATTTAACAATATTAATACAACTTTAAAACATATTCAAACTTATAAAAGATGCTAATTTGATACTCTAATCATGTGAGAAAGGAAAAACAAAAAGGAAAGAAAAAGAAAATATTAAATATCATCAGTGATGTGATGAAAAATAAAGAAAAAAGAATTAGAATTATGAGTAATTTTTGTACAACTAATTAAATATTTGAAGACAACATTATTATTTAACACGATTTTTCTATCGTTTTATTTTATATTTTTAACGTTTGATTGATTCTCTTTATATGAGGTAAAATTATTCTAATGATATTCCCCATCATATATTTACGTATTTTTTCTTTCAATAGATAATAGGATGAAATTTAGGTGTTACTACATAGATATTGTTAATGTTATTTATTAATTAAAAATATAATTTTATTTTCATAAAATATTTATATTGAATGTTATTATAAATTATTAAGAAAAAAATTTAAATTTAATTGGTAGATAATACTTAAATAACTGCACTTAAATTGTGCCTTAAATAATAATACACAGTGTAAGTAACAAGTGTCTTTATAACTTATTCAACACACGATTTTACTCATATATTATTCTTTGATTAAATTAAGGTTTTTCTGAAGCAAATGAATTAAAAAAATTAAACCCCTGCTTTAGTTCTAGATTGGAAGTTTCAATCGTTTTTATTTACTTTTTATTATATTTTTTTATCGATATTAAAAAAGTAAAGTAAATGAAATCTTATAAAACATAAAATCAAAACAAATTTTTTTGTAAAGTCTTATGCATGCTTATAATTTCATGATTCAAATGAAGGGTGTGGGTCATTGTTCCCAAAACTCCCGCCCTCTCCAGAGAAATAAAACAAAACAGAAAAAGTAGAAGATGGAAAAATGAAGGAGATGTGATATAAAGTAGGTTTGTCTCATTGTCTCGTTCCGATTCCATAAACCCTTGGAGTCCCAAATTCTAAAAATGCATTCGCATGCACTTGTTTATTTAAGATGATTTACGCTTTATTTGACTAGGCATAGATATGGTTAAGTTTGATCACCCTAGTGCTTAACAGAGTAGCATGTATCAGAAGATTGCAAAAGGGAACAGTCTATTAAAAGGGTAGGACATGTTTATATAAAGTCACATTTCATTGTCTATTGACTCAGCAGCTTTTTAATAATTAAATAGAGATTGAATGCCTTTTTCCGTACGTATAAAATTCACTGGCTTCTTGCATTGATCTAGAGCCATTGGGTTGGCATATCAATTGGATGTAAATTTAATGGATAGTTGGATGCTTAAAATTTTTATTTTCAATGGATAAATATTTATTTATTATGAGTTTATAAAAAAACTGTAGTTTTTCATAATTAATGTTAGCATTATATAATAATATTTAGATTTTATTTATTTGTTTGTTAAAAAAAACGCATTATAAAAGACCGTATTCAATATCCTAAAATGCTGGTAATTAATGGATACTGATATAAGTATACTAGTATCTGAAATCTGATAGGTAAGGGTAATTAATTATTTATAAATAAGTCAAAAATTAATAAAGAAAAGCAAAAAATATTAATGCATGTATCGGTAAGTTGAGTTTTTTTTTTTTTTAATTTGAATCATTAAAAAATAACATCACATAATTATTAATTTTTAATCTATTTTTTTTAATATCGATGTATCCTAAAAATATATTCTAATTATAATAAAAAAATAAAATTAGCTGAACGTCCCCTTTAAGAGAACACAACATTTTTCATGCCACGTTTCCAACGTCAATGGACGAATGGGTTTCTTTCAATTTTTACTGTTTAATAAGGTATCTACCCGTACATTGCATAATATAGTAAGCTAGGCAGATATCTGCAACAAAGTGTCAGATCCAAAGCATGGGGTTACCCAAATGTGACACCATTTTCACTGTACTAAACCGCAGATATAGTAAGAGCTAGCCTATTATACTGGGCCCTTCATGTGTTATAAGTACCATATGGATTTTCTATCATTTGGGTGAGGCGAGTTTTTGTCACAAAAAGCAGATTGTACACATGCGGGGTAATGGGGTATATCTTAATGTACTGTTCTCCAGTCTCTTGGATGTTCATCATGTTTATTTTCTACTGTGTCCTTCCTTCAAGCTCGAGCCTTTCACTTTCTGCATTTAATTTGACACTGCACATATCTTTATCAAGAAAATCAAGTGTTATTACTTGGGTAACGTTTTGCATTTGAAAAAGAATGTCCAAGAGAACATGAATTATCAAATGTGAATCCTGTGCCTGTCCAAGTAAAATATCTTTCATGGTCATGCCTGTAGAGTATTTAAGCATTAAAGAGAATATTCTAGTCAAATAAACAGTAGTCTTTATTTTTTTAACCATAATTGCTTTCGTTCGCTTTACACAGCCTATGCTTGATTCAATACAAAATTATGAGGAGAAGGAAAAAATGAGAAAAAAAAAATTGATATATATTTTTAGAAGTCAACTTCTTTTTTTCAATTCAATAAGAAAAAACATATTGTTTAAGCAGCTATTTATTAGTGGTACACTTTTATATCTCTAATATAATAAATATTTTCTAAATAAAAATTTATTAATTTTAATAAATAAATTTAATACTAAAATCAATAAAACCAATATTTTCTTATCTTTACTTTACTTTCTTTAATCCAAACAAACCATAAAATCGGTGCTTATTGGTGGTTTCTCTTTATGAAACATGGACCTGCCTATCTCCAATAGTGGTGTTTAATCCTGTAGTTACGTATCTCCATAAATGGCTATACTTTCTGGGCTTCCCATTATTAACTATAAAAGTGGAAGAAGCCGAAATATAAATGAGATGGAATTAGAATTTAAAAGGATCGTACGAGTGCATCCATCGTTTGTGACTGTGCGAAGCAGTTCAGTAAAAAAAAACATTAAGAAAAGAGAGAGACACATAGCTGAAGAAATTAGTTTGTTGGTTGTTACAGAACACACGATGTTTAAGATAAGCACAAGGGAGCAGGCCGTATTAGCTATGAAGCAGCGAGGGAAACAAAAGGGTAATCATTAAGGTATGATTAACATTGCCTGCACCAAATTAAAATTGGAAAAATGTTAACCTTGAAGGAAATATAAACAATTAATAATTATAAAATTTATATTATAGTTTTTTATTATTTTTTGGATAAAAATTTACTATTATAAGTTTGAACTTGAAAGGACGGCACTCACAATGGGAATTGGTAATGGTGCCACAATCTCTCGCATTCATTCAACAGTTTACGCTAACAGACACTTTTATGTAGTACACACGCACACAAAGCCAACTGGCAATATTGATTCATTCGCATAAAGATAAAATAAGAAGGCGAAAGGTGTGAGCTAAGGGACAAGCAGTTTAGAAATCTAGTGTGATTCTTTTGTTTCTGTTTCTCTCTCTCTCTCTCTCTCTCTCTTCTCTTTTTGTTTGTCAATGAATTATTTTTATTATTACTATTATCATTTTCTCCTTCCTCTGTTGCTTCTCCTCTTCTACTTATACTGTTAAGAAGCACAAAGGAGAGAGAAGAAAGAGGTCTATCTCTAGGTGCTTAATTGCCACTCTGCACTTACTCTTTCACTTGATCACAACACTACTAGAATCTATATAAGAGTACCAAATCCAATCACCCAAAAAAAGAAGGGTTAAATGGATATATCAAGTTCACAATACAATAGTGCTAGTGAATCTGGTTGGACCCATTACTTGGACCAATCCTCTCTCTCTGGAAATAATTTCCAGAGGAGAAGTGGGATGATAGACTATGAAGCAACGATGGAGAAGGAAGAAGAAGAGGAGGATTTGTCCATGGTCTCTGATGCTTCATCTGGACCTCCACATTATCACGAAGAGGATGATCAACCCTATTGTTTAAATTGGTATCCTTCTACTTCTCAGTGCACCAAAGAAACAAAAAAGAAGAACAAGGTCCGAGAATGTGGTAAAAATCAACACCCTTCCCCTCTTGATGACACTGCTAGTTCCCCTGTTCTTAATTTTCCCAAGGCAAGTTACAATGACATTAGCATGATTATTTGTGTCTATGGTTTCTTTCTCCTTAGCAGCAATTTTTATCTTTTATATTTTTGGGTTAATGGGTTTTTTTTTTTATTGATTAGAAGAAAAACAGTTTCTCAGGGAATGGAGCAGTGGATAATGCACTGGGTTTTTCTCAGTGTTTTTCTGCAACAAAAATAAAGGTACACTTTTTACTGTTAATACTTGCATCACATTGTACTCATTAGTTATTGCCCGGTTGCACATTTTATCTTGTTGAGGTAAATTCGTTAGTCTCTGCAGAGAAAGCCCAAATTACAGAAGCAGTTCAGTTTCTTTGAGCGCTCTCTTGGTGGAAAACAAGATTCAGAGGAGCAAGGTGATCCATTGTTTTGCACATTGTTATGTTTTTCTGTCTTAATGTTTTAAGCTAACATGTGTCTAAATTGTTGGATAATTTATCTCCTGTTTAGGTGATTTCGATGAAGAAGAAAAGAAATAAAAAAAAAAATTAGCTGTGGCTTTTGTCTCTGCTGTGAAAGAACGAACGAAAGACTAGGAGGTGTCAAAGGAGATGCTGTTCAATGACAATGAAAACTTTAATCTTTTTCTAGATGAAAAAAAAAATGGAAAAGCTCTTTTGGTGTAATTTTACTATTTTTTTAAATGTTGCTACTGTGCCAGTGCCAATGTAGTTTGGAACAACGTAAGAGAATATAAGAAACTGAACAGGGTTTCTGATTCCATTTTCTTGGTTGTCATCAGTGGCAGGATACTGTTCTCAAACTCTACCTCGGCCTTTGTTTATCCTTACTTTTTCACGGTAAAAAACACAACTACTTTATCTCACAACTTGAAAATAAATATACTGCTTAGCTAAATAAAACCTTTTAAGTAAAATAAAATGAACTTAAGTCTGCATAAATGGTCACGATGCATTTTTTCTGGTCTCAAGAACACTATAATTAATTTACTAAATTTAAAATCGATTTTATATTACATGATTACTTAATAAAAAATTAATACTTTTGAAACTGAAGATACCAACACTGATTTAAATAAGAATAAAATTTAAGTATTTTTATTAAAATAAAAATCTAATTTTAATTAATAAATAACACGCACAGCATAATTTTTGTCATTTAAATAAAAGGTAGCAGCAGAAAAGAGAAAACCAGTAGTTTACATAATTGAGGGAACAATTTACCTCTCTCTGTGGCCAAAAGAAAGACCAACTTGAAAACATGTCGGCTAATCTCAGTGTCATTTAGCAATGTTATTGAAAATTTGATCAAATTTATATTGTTATTGACCAGTCTCCCATTCACAGTTGATCAATCTCATAATTAAACTGAGAAACAGAAGAATTACATAGATCAGCCTTTGCTTTGTTAGTTTAATTTATGTGAACTATTAGATTATAAACGTGTGGTTAGAATTTGGCTAAAGAGAGAATCCAGAGTGTTGTGGGAACTATGGTCCTTCATTGAAATATTGAATAACCAATGGGGAAGGAATTCTGAAACTACCATTTGTACCAACCAAAGCATCCAGCGAGGCACAAGGGAGAGAAGGAAAGGGAAGTTTTAGTCACTGCTCATAACGACGAAACCAAAAGGTGTAGTAGTGAGTGGTGACCCACTCGATTAAGTTCAGCTATTGCCAGCCTAGCTCTCAACCACTTTGGGTGGGTTAATGTGGTAACCTAAGCTGCTTGAGACCCAAAATAGACAAGTATCCAAATGAAACCAACAGTCAATCTTCATTTTCAGCCAAAGTGGGCAACCCCACCACCATCTGATAGCTACCCACCTAAAACGTGATCCATATATAACACCGGTACAATTATTTATTTTGTTTTTCATTGAATATTCAACTAAATCTTTTATTCCATGGGTTATTCATCCTCCTGAGACTCAAACCCAATGCATGCCTCTATCACAAAATAACTTGGATGTTAGGAAACAGACACCACCCATTCTAAATTGGCGCTACCCAGTTACGGTTTACAAATAGTTGTGCCTTACGTTGTGCCATTATCCGCATTGGAAGATATAAGATGTTGAATGAAAACAACAAAACATTGCATTGCAACATCATCAATGGAATATATAACACAACCAAAAGGCTTTAAGTAAACTTCGCTCCCAATAATGTTTTTTGTACTACCTAATAGGACACTTTTAGGTATCTCATTTATTTTTGTATATATATATATATATATATACAAAAATAAAATGAGAATAAAATGAGATTTAAATGATGAGATTATTTTCATCTTACAATTTTCAGGCCCAATATTCACATTTATTTAATATTTGTCATTCTTGTCATCAAGTATCTGTCCATACATTTTTTATAACTATTTGAGTTTTAATCTATAAAAAATTCATTAATAAAAATAACTAATTTTTTCTTTTTATGAAAGGTTTGGCTTATAATTCAACTTATTAAAGTTATTTTAATATATATATATATATATATATATATATCTTATTTACAATGTTTTTTAATAATTGAAAATGTTTTATAGTAAATTATTATTTAATATATTATATAATGTTTTTAATCATGATTAAATTGGTGTTTTCTTAGTTCAAAGATTAATTCAATTTTTAAAATGTTATAATTATTTTTAATTTAATATTCCAAAAATGTAGACTAGCCAATTAAAAAAATATACTTTTATCTACTATATGAACTATTTAATTCCACAAGTAATGCAAATATTTATTTTTGATTGATTTACCCTTTTATTAATTTAAAATATAAACCTATTCGGTAAAAGAAATAACCGTTAATCACCGACTCGATCACCGACTCTTGCCAACTGTATTATAAATAAACCTTAGTTTGCTCTCTAATTGTATTGCATTATATGTCTGTGTTGTGAAGCCTGGTCCAGAGCTTAACCAGACCCATATTTCGCTCGCTTGATAAAGATCTTTTCGTTTCACTCAAAACAGTAAAATGAAAGAAAGATTCTTGGTTCCAAAGGTGCCGCTGAGGAATGGAACGAATTTAAAGAACTATAATCAAGAATTTACCATTATTGTGCTGTAATTTTCTTTAACCGGTTCTGATAGAATGTTTGTTGGTAACTATTTCCCGTCAAATTTGATACGAAGGAGCTCCACTTTGAAAATTGGTTTGGAAGCATTTTGATAATTACAAATGTACTCATATCCTTTATTCTGGCTTTGATTAAAGACGTAGAAACATGTTTGATGACATTCTTGTGGAGCCTTTGGTGTGATATACACTTTTATTTTGTGTTTTGATATTTTTGTGAACAGTTCTATTCGGTATTAGAATCTTTTTCATTAATTGGTCAAACCTTGTGTTATCTTGATGTTCAGGCAGTGCAGATCTTGAAGTCTTGAAGTACGTATATTATTCTTGTACTGTAAATGGAACCATCGGATGTTTCCAACTAGGAAAATTGTTTGTTAGTTCTCTTGTGCGTGAAAACTGTGAAAATGCAGATTCAGTCTAATGATCAATAGGAGTGAACTATTGTAGGGGAAGTCTGTTCTTATTATTTTGATTTTAGATCTTATCTTTGTTGACAATCCATAATTTCAAGTTGTCAGTATCTTAATCTTAATAGGCTTAGCCAATACTAGTTGGTAACAACTATCCACAGTTTCTGAATTGAAAACTAGAATTATGTTGGAAACTTGAGTCTTTTAGATCGCCGAAAGCAAACGATATGCCAATATAATCTGCTTTACTCTACTGTTGCTTGCCATACTTTGTGACATTCCTTAGCCAGGTATATCATGTTTTACAGGAAGGTTTATTGCTCGAAGTTTCGGCATTCGAGACCGAAACTGAAGAAAAACCAAAAGGCTGCGGGTAGAGATATTCAACAATAATTTTGCAAAAGGAGAGCGTGAAAAATTAAAAATAGACAAAAATAAAATAAAAAAAATGTATTTTTTTCATTTATTAAAAAATATGGAAACAGATATAATATAAATCTATTAAAAAAACAGTTGACTTTCGCCGGCTGCCATACCAAAACCCAAAGACAAAAGGCTTGATGGAAGCATCGGCTAACATAGCCCTCCTTGTAAGTATCTCCAATGATCAAAGGAACACAAAGGTGGTAAGTGGAAACTGTAGCAAGATTCTATGATGAAGTTCAGTCATTCATTTTTTACAATTCTTACTCTATCGATCATCCGAGCCCTGATCCGGGATACCTCTGCCATTTGAATCATAAAAGACCCTGAATGACTCAAGATGAATAATCAAATTGTTGCAAAGATGTAACTTGGAAGAAACTAGGCCTACCGAAGTAAAAATGTCCCCACGGTTAGGTTAAATCCAATTTCCAAACTTTTTCTTTACCTTAATGATCTAAGGTAGATACTATCATGTCCTGCGTTTTTCTGTTTTTTTTTTTCTTTATTAAAAAACAATACACTATTAAAATATCTTTTTCAAATCGTAACATTACCTCTCTTTTAATCTTTATATTTTTCTGAATTATTATATTTTAATCAAAAATAGAAAAAGACTTACAATAAGGACAGTAATATTATTTTTTTCATTTTGTTTGAATTTCCCAAGTTATTCAATCAACCAAAAATAAAAATTTGAAAGGTTGAAACACAAAAGATAATAAACATATACATAAAAAATTAACACTGCACGGATACATAGAGCATATTTATTTTAATTTATACTATATTTTATTTTTAAAAACAGAAAATTATTTTTAAAAAAATAAAATAAACATATTTATACATTAAATTTTTTTAGTTACTGTACACTTAAACATAAAATATTTTATACTTTTACTAGATTAAAAATTGTAATTCTTCTACTATTTTAAATATTAGAGGGTATTAACTAAGTCACTAATTTTATTATCTATTAGTATAAAATTAATGGTAATAATTATTCTATATGCAAGAGAAGGTATCAAAACTTTTCAATTATAAAAAGTATAATAGATTTTATTATTATTGTTATTTTGGGTCAACCTAATTTGGATTATGTTTCTTTCTTTGGGTATGGCTTTTTGGACCTTTTCACTACTATATCATTAGGCTGATTCCATGATCTCCTCTATTGCTTTTGGTCCGTTTAATCTAATTTCACTATTGTGGGTGATAGAGCCCAAGGGGTAGTCTGCGGTGTCTTTTACAGCCCCCATTGCCTATTGGCTGAGGGAAAGTAGCTTACTGTAAACCCCCAAAACAATTGGGCTGAAGGCCCAATTGGACGTTTGGTTTATCGTAACGGCTGTGCTGTCCCACATGATTCCGGGAGTTGCCGAATTGAGGTGTTGTAGAGGTAGAGGATATCAAATCAAATCAGCATCAGTAATAAGGGAGCACTCGAAGTAACTGTGAGGCATGAAACGCACATGCTCCCTTTCTCTTTCTTTCTGAAACTTGTTCAATTAAAGTAATCCGAAGCCTGAGCCTCAAGGCTCTCATATCCGATCCAATCCTTCATTCCTGCATGGAGGACGCATTTGCCAGATCTATTCCCGAGGTAATTTCGTATTGCTTTTCTCCATTTTCATTGCCGCCATGACATGAACCCCGAATCTCATTCTAACTTCACAGTTCTCATTTAGCAAAACCTCGAACTAAACATTCTGTATTAATTTGAAATATGGATTTCGTAACTCGCAAGCTGATCGGAATGTGAATTTCGACGTTTTCTGCTTTGCAACCTGTGATGTGGTATCCCTAACGCTCTCAGATTCTTTGTTTTTATTATCATTGAACGTGATAATGTTGAAAACTATTCTCGGCAACATTTACTTTTGTTTAAGAGGACGAAACTTCACACATGCATACTTACCTCTTGCGATAGTAAACTCTGCATCATCCTCTCTCTCAACCATTACGATTCGGTTCATACGGAGCTTGTTAGAACCAAGTTATTATGTTAGAATATTCATCTAGAAAGCGATGGTTATTTTTGTTATTTTTTCTGGTTGGTTAGGTCCTTGATTTCTTTGGAGTGGACCCAACAAAGGGTCTATCAGATGCTGAGGTACTTCAATTTTCTTTTTTACCTTTTTTCCTTGCCAGTGTGAGTACTTCAATGTTCCAAATAATTAAATTACTCGGCTTCTTTTCCAGGTAGTACAACATGCCAGGCTTTATGGTAAAAACGGTATGTCTTCTGTAGGTAGACAAGAGATACCAAAGAATGTGGTTTTATCTTGAAATGAACTTGCATTACTGTATTATGTAACAGGCTAGTCGTAATTGATGGCACTCAGGATAACAAAATCACACTACTGAACTTGGCATTCTGGAAATTTACCTCTTGCATCTTGTTCTCCAGTATCGTTTAATGATTTCTTTTATTCTTCTATTAACTTCCCTTTTCTCTTTTCTTACTGCATGGTATCGTTTGCTATACAGTGCTGCCTGAAGATCAAAGTGAGTATATGGAGTTTGTACTTGTTACTTTTAATTTTGTTTATTTGTGTAACGTCAGGTAACTCAATGGTTTTCATTGTCAAGACAAACAAATTATATGATTAAATTTTGATCTGAACTAACAGTATTTCACCAAAATGGTTTGTTATTGTACCTAATCAATGGAAATATTTGTGCATGGATTTTGGCTAGTTTGGCAAGTTATAGGAGAGAAAAAGTTTATATTTACTGTATTATATGGTTAATGATTGCATAACTGATATGAACCTTATCTCATATATCATTGCTAATTGAGGTGTTCGCAGTTCTAGCTCTACTTTGATGTCATTACCTTTGTTGTACTGTAATTTTTTTTTAATTAAATAAATTAAACCAGTTCTTATTTTAACTTAATCATGTCAAATTAAATATGCAGGATCTCCCTTTTGGAAATTGGTTTTGAAGCAGTTTGATGATTTGCTTGTGAGGATACTAATTGCAGCTGCGCTAATATCTTTTATTCTGGCATTAATTAATGGAGAAACAGGCTTGATGGCATTTTTGGAGCCTTCTGTAAGATATATTTTTCTCTTGTATGCTGTGTTTGGTGTTACAATCAATTTCTTCATGTAGTTCATATCTTTACAATTTACCTAAAGAAGTGAAACTTTGAAAGCTACCTCTATTCAATAGATGTTATAGATTTTGAGCTGAATGAGTTCTTTTGCAACTTATGATGGATTTCACTTGTATGACGCTGCATGACCTTGTGTATCCTGTAAACACTTGGTGAGTCGAAAACTTGCCAAAGTGCCTTGTAAAATAATGTTGTTGAGCCAGCGAGTGCACTGGATGTTACACTATTTGTTAAATCGAATCAGGCTTATCAAATTCATAACATTATCTTGTACTGATTTTTTTCTCTGTAGTCTGCACATGTTTATTGATGGAAAAGAAATTTGTTATATGTATAGGTTATTCTGATGATATTGGCAGCAAATGCAGCAGTTGGAGTAATTACAGAAACAAATGCTGAAAATGCTCTTGAGGTAAAATTAAAACACTGATAATTTATAGCTCCAATCAATCTCACTGATAATGATTCATTTCATCAAACTTTCACTGATTTTGGATAAATTTTTCTAAATTTAAAGCTAATGCTCATTCTTGTTTCTAGTTTGTTTGTTAAATTCTCTACATGCCTAATCAAATTGAAAGCTTTTTCCATAAAAACCATTGTGATTGTCGAATTCTCTTGTGTTGTTTGTTTCAAGTGGAGCTCACTTTTATCTATTCCTTTCTTTTTTATATTATCTTAGGAGCTACGTGCCTATCAAGCTGACGTGGCAACTGTCTTGCGCAATGGTAAACAGAAACTTCTATACCAGTCCAATTCTTTGTAGCATGAGGAGTACTATAGAACTTTGTTGCTTTTATAACTAACTAATCATAATTTTAATTTTGAAGTTTGTTTTATTACAAATTTCTGTAAGATGGCTAGCAAATTATGGTGGTTTTCATAAAATTTTTCTGTTCTTGATGATATACTTTTACCTCAAAAAGAACTTGTAGTAACTTATTTTGCTGTTTATGCATGGTCTTGTCTTTTTGGGTAGGTTTGGGCTGGGGGAGGTGAGTTACAATCAATGAAGAAGGTGTATTTGCTTTGTATAAATAAAAGATGGAATAATTATACGAGTAATTTATCGCTGTTACCTCTTATGTGGGACAAAGTGCTTGTTCTAGCTTTTTCCACTGTGCTAATAGCTATTTTTGAGGGATTTATTTGTTACAGAGTAATTGGCAATATTTACTTTCTTGAATTTTTTTTTTTTGGGGGGTTGTAGGAGGATATCTTATTTTCTGTTCTTTTAGCCTCTTTTTGTTGTGAATGATTTTTTCTTTTATATAAAATAAATAAATAATGTGATATTTCTAAATCATTACTCACAGCAAATCCTGCTAGAATCAAACTTGGTAATGTGAACATTTTTTTTTTTATATAGATTGATCCAGTTCTGCTATCTGTTCGTTTAAAAATAAATTACCAAGAGATACATGCCATGTTTTCCTGTACTCAATGGCTATTGGCCATTATTGA